GTGCATAAAGGCGAGGATAAATTCCTCGGCTCGGGTCGGGATACTCGCTCGAGGGATTCCGTAAAATATTTTCGACTGTATAATCCTTTCCTCCCCGCTTCATCTCCCCGCCCCCGCCTGCCCCGTATATCCCTATCCTTTCATGTAATTAGAACAATCCTTCGACTTTCACGCCTCTCCTTCGCTCTGAGACGCGCGATTACACTTCTCCCACAGGAGATAAGGAACCAAGAGGGGTGTCACGCTATGCTACGGAACGGGGGGAGGGGGATGATAACCGGATGAGAGAAACGCGAAAATGAAATGGAAGATGGAGTGGAGGGACCGACGGCGACGGCGCCTAAATAAGCATTTAGCGAATAATTGACGCCGTCTTTCCCGTCCCTTCCTCGCTTTGTAACGACGATGTTATCTGAGGAGGGGGACGATGTCTCCATTTGTCTTTATTTTGCACCCCGTTTGGCATCTTTATTCTACGACGCGCTACTATCTTTGTTCCTGAGATTGTTATTTTATACGCCGTATCTCGAGAGATTCAAACGAGATGGAACGGACGCCGGAAAGCATTACGATATATAATTCTCTTTCAATGACTTTATATATTTTTAAGACTTAACTATTCTAGGATATTTTCTCTCTCTCCCATTGTTTTATTTAATATGCCTGTAACATTTAATTGCAGTTGCTATTGTAAAGTACGATAAAAATGAAAAATTCAATGCGTTTTAAAAATAAATGTAATTGTAAATATAAAAAATAAATGTTACTTCGAAAATCTATTTCCGATAGATTAAATATTTAAAAACAAACTCCGCATGCACAGAAACTATATTTGATTTTTCACATTGTAGTTTTACAATTTCGATTTTATAACAGATATATAGTCAAAATTGCTAGAATAGACGAAGTTGACAATACAATTCTTTTAAATGTGATTATAAATTCGACATTTTCTTGTTACATATGTAAATACACAATGCGATATACTGTTGACAATATATGTATGTATATCGATAAAATATATATTAAAATATATATTAAATACAATGAACTATAATATTCTGTCGAGACAATTTTACGCAAGAGTTCAAAAGATCCTGTTTTATGCATAAAAAACTTAATAGCTTGATTTATGTTCTTGCATTATATGTTGTTTCGCGATCGTAATTCATAAATGAGAGTAATTACATTTTAACGTCTTGCATTTTCCTGCTTGAACTAGATGCCAAGACCGGATATATAAGAGATTATTTATGACATGAACTGAGAATCTCTGGAATTTTCATGCTAATCTTTATAATCTTCTCAAGGATGATTCGCGATTTGCGTCAAAAGTGACGTAAACGATTGCTAATTATCGGCGTTAATAGTACTCGTCCGATATTTATCAATAAATACATTCTCATTTTGTTCAACACCATAAACTATAACCAAAAGTGAATATCTACAAGTTTTTTTATTAGAAATGAGGGATCATTTATGCTGCGATGCACATTTCCCAAGATCGGTTTATATCGAAGATAACACGTTAGGTGCGTTAACTGTCGCGCTCTCTTTAGCACTCTAATTTGAATTTAATTCAGCTCATCAGCGCTATTACAGTAATAGCGTTTTATTCCGCATATCAATAGTAATTGCTTTTTCTTTATTCCAACCAAGATTTAACTATCTCGGGCTCAATATCGTGCAAGATATGCAATATTAAAAATTAAAAACTTGCGATATCAACTCAACGCAAAAGTTATCGGGGGAATTTTATAACTGAAAAGACATTCCATACGCGATATACATGTATGAGGAAAAATACTTTGCATTCTTTTCACGGAAGAAGAATCCAAAAACATAAAAGTAAAAATATAAAATGTAAGTATATAAAAAAACAATAAAACACAAAGAAATATTTTTAAAAAATTTTATTTAAAAAAAGTAATCTTAATTATTTTTCATTATGTAATTAAAAAATTTCGATACTTTTTTTCGCATGAAAATTTAAAAAAATAATGTGTGTATGTTATACGTGCGCGCTATATATGTCGGTTGACACAAAAATAACGGCATTCTTTTTTTATCGAAAATTATTATTAAATCGTTATAAAAAATTAATTTTTGAGAACATCTTTGGAAAGCGACTGAAATTCGCGTATGAAAAACGTACTTGTACGATACACAGTACATTTAAGTGTTAAAAGCAGCATCGCGAGCAATTTCTCTCAACAATAAGATACAGATAGAGAGGAAGAGAGAGAGAAAGAGAGAAAAGTTCCACGACAATGTTCCCAGTTACCGCCGTCAGGAAATGCACGCGTAACGACCATTACCTCTACTGCGTTTGTCTCTGCGGGTGCTTTATATCGGCGCCGGTGCATCGTAGCGGAATACACTCGCCGTCCGAAGACGAACGCGACCCCCTCGAATGCGCCCGGGGGGAATATCGAAGCGAGAAAATTTATCTCGGATCGGTAATGGGTCCTGAGACTCCGGTACTGCGCGTCGACCGACGCGCTATATCGGAGGTCCGGCGGTGACGAAGTGGCTTCCGGAAGTAACGCGGTAAAGTAGCTCGGCGCGTGCATCCCCCGGAGGATTTTCGAGCGACTGCCAATATAAACTCGAAAAGGCAGACAGCAGAGCGACCGGGTAACCAGCGCCCTTTTTCTCTTCCCTTTCCCTTCGTTGTCGTCGTCGTCGGCGTCGTCGTCGTCATCATTGTCGTTCGGCTACGTAAAGTGTCTTTTACGTAGCGAATCGTACCGTAAAAATGGAACCGCTCGCGCATAAATGTGTTTGGCCTTCGATCAAGGGTCTCTTCCTTTACACAAACGACCGCGTTGTTCGAGTGAGTTTTTCACAGAGAGAGCAAGCAGCATTTCTGTCATCTCTCGCAAAAGTTTGAAATTTTTCACACTATAGAGAGACTGTGAGAATATGTAGTGTGTTAAATAGAGAATATGTAGTGTGTTAAATCTCTATTTCTTCTTCGATTTATACCGATTAAACTTTTGTCAACTTTTCCCGATTAAATCTATGCCAATTTTCAAGAATAAAATTCTTTCCATTTTCTAATAATTAAATTGCTGTCAATTTTTCTTCGTTACACTTTTATAATTACATGTATAGCGCATATTATATACAACGTATTGTTGAAATGTCTATGCAATGTGAAATTTTTAAAAAAATAATCGTTTTATATATTCGGATCCTGGAATTTCTGGAATTATTTGATATAAAGTGCGCGATGCCGAATAAAATGTTATTAAATATAAAGTTCTACAGGAACAGCAGTTTCATAATGCAGATTTTATTTATTGAATATACGAAATACGTATTGCATTCAGCCGTATCAATAGCGAATTGATACATTGTCGAACGATCGAATACGAATGGCTGAATGGGATACACAAGTATTCTTCGATAACATATTTCAATGACGGCTTTTTAATTTGTAATGGGATCGTAATAAATCTAAAAAAAAAAAAAGATTGTATTGTCGACGACAAAAATAAAGGTCAATAGTATAATCATTAAACTCGAATCAATGGTTCAATTGTGTGACTGTCTCAATGAATCTTTTCACTTTTTAGTTTTCGCGTTTAAAACCTCACTCTATCAAATCTCACCGAAAAATATACGCAATCACATTTAATCACAATTTAAACAAATTTGCACAATACTTTTACTATCTATTTTTTGAATCTCTTTACAAAAAGAAAATTATACATGATATTCGTCCCAAGATATTATTAAACGTTTCCTTAAACAAAATTATAATAAAGAAGATAATTTTTTAAATAAATAATGATGATAGGTATATATTTTTATATAATTGCAATCTAAAATAAAAATTTAATTATCGAAGAATAGGATGTCTATCTTTTTTTGTGATATCATTATCGTCTATTATATCCTTATCCCGCAGAATCTGCGTACACTTTCTGGATGGTCACATTTTCTCCATGCGAGTTATTTCGCCTAAGTGGAAGCAATTCGATCAAGTTAAATGCGATTATGCATTTACGCATATAGTGCCACGCCACGTATATAATTATTGCGCCGACGAGCACGATTTTCTATATGCGCTTAATAGAATCTGGCAATAAATCGCGCACGCTATTCTGACATTAAATTAACTCATGGATGAGAAGCGAGAGAAAGAGAGAGAGAGAGAGATTGGTACGCGAAAAGCGGGCGCTATAAAACAAGAGCGAACGCGGATCGTTCGAAATCAGCAGATTGCGTCGTTTATCACCCAAAATGTCCGAAAATCTATGTATATGCGCGATTTATTCGAAACGACGATTTAGCGGCGCGCAGCGCTTACAGTTTTGTTTTTAAACCACCACCCGCGTCACGCTTAACCGGATACAACCGTGCAAAATTAATGACAACATGATTACCGTGTGTTGACGACCCCGCCGGGTCATAACAAGATTGTCGCGGAAAATTTCAGTCTGCTATATTAGATATTTAAAAATAATATAATATATATTCGGTCCCGCGTATATATATAATACATATAAAATGTGAAGCACAGTTTTTGAGCGAGCGAAAATAAACTTCCGAAAAACAAGATTCACAAGCCTGCTAAATAGATAAGAGGGTTCTATTTCTTAATTAACTTTCAGTGGGCTTGAGTAAAGTCTTTTAATTTAAGATTATAGTTATACACTGAGATATTTAATATTTAATATTTTAAAACATAAAACTCAGAGACGTTCGATTCACCAAGAAAGAAAATCGATTGCAGACTGGCTGCGTACGTAGAATATACAATACTTACGATCACTGACTGTAAGTCGGAAAAGCTCTGTATATAAAGTTAGTGGAATTATCGCACTTTTTAAATCATCAAAATATGTATATGTATAACAGAAACGTAGCTGTCGTAATTGTGCGAGCAATGTTTTGACGTTTATATTTTTCTTCCTCTGTGCATTAAAATCACCATGTAAAAATTCTGAAAATTTGATGGTATAACGTTTTATGATATTTTCTCTTTCCAGCGCCACCGCGAAAGGTAGAGATCAGCAGTCATCCAAACAAACGGATAATTGAGGTGAAGGTAGGAGAGTCGCGGCGATTAGACTGCATCGTCAGATCGGCTAAGCCGGCCGCCTCGATCATCTGGTATCGCGGAAATGTGCAGATCAAGGGCGGCGACACCAGTATCTCCGCAATTTCCATCCAGGGTGGTAAGTAGCTATCTTGTTACGCGCATTGATATTCAATTACGATAATACCGCGTACGAATGAATATATCATGGTTATTACGCGACAAGGATCAAATAAGCGCGTCGCACTATACGCGTGTAGATAAGCACAGATTCTGCTCTAATAACGCGGTATCGCCTAATTAAATTTCGATCGGAATAATAAATAACGCTCACAATAGCGTAAAAACAAGTTTTAGTGGGTGAAAAAAATTTTTTAATATCCTTTTTTGAATTAGCCCTTTTTATCTTGTCACGTATTTAATATGTAACATATGTTAATTATGTTTCTTTTTGTGTTATTTACTGAAAATTTTGTATGGAAATTATTATAAATATGTTATATCACAAAATGTAAATATTAAACAAGTAGATTAAATTCTTTACTAATAATCAATATTTAATAATATAAGAGGAGCGATAGCAGTTATCAATAGATGAGTCAACGTCGTTATATCTTAATGTTAGTAGATTAATAGGTTGCAATTCCAGTTCACATTTGTCATATCGGATGATATATTCATTTAGGGACATATAGATTATATATTATAAAGAATGGAATATGTTAAGTGGACACTAAACGCGTAGTTTTTTTTATCATTTCTTATTTATCTTCGTAGAAGATAAATTAAATAAGAAAATATCTTTTTCTCTGCGTTATCTTCTATATAAAACGAATAAATTAGATTATAAATTATATAGAAGATCTTCCGTAACTCTAAAAAATATATACAGAGAGATATAATAATTTAAATACTGCGAATATAGTGCAGTCGCTTATCTCAACACGATGTTGAGAAGACGAATAATCTTGAATTTCGCCAGAGGCCGTTTTTTTTTTTTCCAAAGTGCTTACCGCGTCGCGCTCGTAAAAGTATAGCAAGTAAAAAGATTGAAGGGATGGGTGTCGAGACGCCTCCCTTTCTAACGCTGCTTCCAGTTGCCAAGAGCATCTTCGATCGATCCCGTGACACACAATTCTGGCCGCGCTCCAACTACCGAAATTGACGTTCGTGTCTCGCGCTCGCGCCCACCGCTTGCGTTTTTACATTCGGCCGGAGACGACTCGACGAGGCATCAAACGATTGCGTCACCCGGAAAAGAGAGAGCAGAACTAAAATATATTCTAATGAAACGCGTTGATAAGTAAAATTAAAAGCGGTTCGTATATACATCTAAATTTCTGCGACACAAACTCGCGGGTGAGAATTGAGCAAATAAGAAAGTTTTCCGCGTAATATATTATGCAAAGATATTTCGGCTCTTACTCTGATGAACGAATGGATATCTAATGAATGCAGAAATTATTATTTTTCTTGTCATTTAAATATTAATTAATCTAGAGAGGAAAAGAGAAGAGAATAAAAGATGCCTCTTAATTTTACGAAATACATTCACATAAGCCCTTTTATGTAATACTATTAATATTTCCATTAATATTCCATAATTTTTTATAAAAAATAGGTTTATATATACATATATTTTGTATGTGTATATGTATTTTTGTGTGTGTAAAGATAAACATATAAAAGTATTAGCATTGCTGTAGAATAAATTTGATAAAAAGCCCAATTGCAATCGCCCATCTGGAAAATACTCGTAAAAGGATTATTTAAAATTAGACTTGACTGCTTCGATATACTGTAGAAATTCAGATGTATGTTTTATAAATGTATAACTGCTCGTCTATCATGCACGCAAAGTGCACGAAGAGATAAAAGCACGCGTTTTCTTATTATCGCGAAGCTTGAATCTATCATCGAAAAATACAAATAAGCAGACGAAATGAATTTGTAGGTATTTAAAATGAAGTTGCTTCATATTTAGCGGATTATTTGATTAAAGATAAAATGAATATTTCAATATTACTTTGCATTGCATGTTTCTTTTATATCGTTTCTTTCGGTACGATGTATCATTTCTCTATCGCGGTGTTTGTAATATATCGTGAAAAAAGAAAACATTAAAATTTTTTATAGTATTATAATGAAAATATATGAACCGTCTTTTTCTCTCTATCTATCTCCTCTTTATAAATATGAATAGGGAGCTGCGTATTCTTATATAAAATACGTAATATATAAAATTTTTCCTTCCATATATGTATACATACAAATTGGAATTCTTCGCGACGGGATTATTTAACAATAACAGCAATAAGTTCAGAGTACTAACAGTTAAGTGGAAAAATTGGCAAATAAAAGCGCGGATTATTTAACATTTTATCTAATATTGCATCTAATGTTACTTCAAATTTGCAAAAAAATTGGAACAAGAGATGCATCTGAATTTTTCTCTCTCTTTCTCTCTCTAGCGCCAGCTAGATATAAATCTCTTGGATGCGTTACCTAATAACAGCTACGGGAGCTACGAGACACAAGTTTGCTCGGAAATAAATCGCGACCGTCGTCGTTTCCTTTGTGCGCATTACGATGCTGAATCTCGCTCGTCATTCTAACAACAAATTCTTCTTCCCCGACTGCTACGCATCCTAGTCAAGCCACGGCACCGTTGACAGCCGGGAGCATTTGTATCCGACGCGTCTCCGAAAACTGTGTGGACCGCGTGACGCGACGGAATAAAGAGCCGTGCGTCGCGCTTTCGCGTAAAAGCTCGCCCGGAGCTTTTAACGGAGATTTAAAAAGGAGCGCACCGCGAAAAAAAAAACGTATGTGTACTTCTCATAACGTTGCGTATTCGGCTTTTAATGTAAATTACGTGTCTCCGCGTGCCGCATGATGAATAATTCTGCTTTCTCTGCGAGTCTCGAATTAATTCGACATCTTGTATATTTTTATATACATATACAAATAATTCTAATTCTTTTTTCTGAATTTAATTAAACTCTGTGATATCTAAATACAAAATTTAAAAAGTTCGACGATAAAGAAGTTATGCGTTGCAATCAAATATATTTCTTTAAACAAATTTATAAAGAGGAACATTTTCTAATTGATTAAACAAATAATTAATTGCAAAATGAGAAATTATTATATAATTGCAGCGAAATTCGCATCTCTTGTAACGACACTTGAAAGTAAATTAATAAAATGTCGATGTAATATCTTTTTTGCAATCTTGAAATTATCTGATAATATATGAGAAAATAAATATAATCAAAGAATGATGATAATAATAATAATTGACAAAGCGATTGATTTTGCAGATAAAAGAAAAAAAGAATAGGTGGCAACGAGGAATTGATTACAATTCCTTACTTTGTCTGTGAGATGAACGATTGATATAAAAAGCAAACAATAATCAAAGAGATAAAAATGGCTAATTCTGGTGGCTATAAAGTAAAAGTGGATGGCAGGTAGTATTTATTACGCGATTTGCGCGGACCATGTTACAGACAAGGAGACGACCAAGCCCGGAGAGACGTCCAGGGAATTGCTCAAGTACGACACTCACGGTTCCATTACCATCATGCCTACGGCGGACGATAATGGGATGGATTACACCTGCGAGGCCAGCCATCCAGCTATACCCATAGACAGGCCCATGCGGGCGACCATTACACTCTCCGTTTTCTGTAAGTACGACCGAGCCATAAATGCATATGTTCGCGCGACCGTTTATACATTGAATTTTTACGAAATTTTTACGAAAAATAAATCGATATTAATTTATAATCTCGAGTCTATTGGATTTCTAAATAAAATTTTCACGAACAAAAAAATATATTTTCTCCTTTTTTCTTTAACTTCGCGATATTTTATTTGTATACAGGAGATTTAGTAGGCCTCATTTGTATGCAGATGAAAAGTGCTTCTCTTGAAATGTACTTACAAAAGAGAATAAGATAACTATAGAGGATAAAGTAATACATAGTTTGCTCAAATTATAAATAATACAATCTACTTAATCCGAATCTACGTAACATTATTTTCACACAAGTATTACCCAAATTAATGTATAATAAGTTATGTTGAATTTATTACAATAACGCAGTGTAATCTCCTGAAAAGCAGCGACGCAAATTTACATATTTGTAAAGAGAGATCTTCTCTTAAATTTCGCGTGCACATCGTTATTCTTCGAGCTCGTATAGCTCTCAGTCACGATTATCCGGATAAGCTTTCGAATAAGTTTCATTAGCGCGCAAAGCCTTTGTATAACGACGCATCTTGTCCGATCCTCCGCAGATCCACCCGGTCCACCGTACATAGAAGGCTACACCGAAGGCGAAACCGTACAACGCGGCCAAAACGTGGAGCTCGCGTGTCGATCGCGCGGTGGAAATCCGCAGGCAGAGATCGTTTGGTACAGGAACGACGAGAAGATGACGGCGGCCCATCGCAGAGGGCATGGTGTTAGTGAGAATGTACTGTCGTTCGTAGCTCGGGCGGAAGATGACAAGGCGCGCTACAGGTGCGAGGTCTCCAATATCATGAGCGTGCAGCCTATGAAGGTGCAGGTCGATCTCACCGTACTTTGTAAGTGACAATTGCAATTATCGAGTATTTCGGGCGGTAATTAACATTGCATTTTGAAAAAAAAATTCCCCTCTATACATTTCTATCTTTTGTCATCTATATTATTTTTTATTTCTTATATATATCTATTAATTCGGATTAATATACTTCAATTTGATCTACCGTGTAATATTTTCGAAACTTATACTGAATGACAGTGATTTTAAGAACTAGCGATAAATATAATCAGAAAATTAAATAAAAGTGAAAAAAATACAAATTTTGTTCCATGTTTTGAAAATTTCAATTTTTTTAAACTGATTTTGCGGGTCCAGTTTTTATTTCTTATATATATATCTATTAATATGGATTAATATATTTCAATTTGATCTACTGTTGAGATATTTTCAAACTTATACTGAATGATAATGCTTTCAAGGACCAGCGAATATAATCAAAAAAGTAGATAAAAGTGAAGAGAAGAAAAGATATACAAATTTCATTCTACATTTCAATTTTTTAAACTGAATTTGCGGGCAACGCACATTTCTCGCGAGTGATACTTGAAATATATTTTAGATGTTAGAATATTAATGTCGCGTCTGGTGCCTGTCTGTGTTGCACTTAGCATTACTTTACCGTAAGGCATAGTATTGCGCACAACTAAGCGTGAACGTGGCGTATGGACGATCTCTTGCCTTGACGGAACAGCCGCATAAATAATTCTGCTTCTCTATTTTCACCGAAACCGCGTTCACGTTGCCTAAATTGAAATTTTACTAACTTTATGCTCGCGCGTGATATATGGGATAAAACTACAAAATACCAGTAGCTGACTTAGCATACACTTGGGGTAAAAGGTTACGCTTGTCGACACTGTTGCAGTTATCGATAAAAGAAAAGGAGAGAGAGCCTGTTACTAAATTCTTTGCTGCCAAAAGGCGTTAAAAATTTATAACAACGAGAGACACCAGTTTTCGAAAAGTTATTCAATAATTTTCAGCTTAGGATATTTGCTTGGCAAAATCTCAAGATTCTTAAATGCGAAAATTTTACAATTCATGTGATGCTTTTTCCTCCTAGTATCTCTTTGACCGCTATACTAGTACATATGCACATTTTTACATTTTTTTTCGTCCGAATCTAGCCGTTAGTTCGTCTTCCAAATCGACGAACTGATACCTATCGATTTGTTATTTCCGCTTTATAAACCATCGTCTCGGGTGAGTGGAGCTTTTTCACGTCTTTCACGATCCGCAGTCGCGCCCGCTGGGGTCTTCATCACCGGACCGACGGAAGCGAAGGCAGGCGACCAAGTACTCATTACTTGCACGACGGAGAACTCGAATCCGCCCGCGGATATAAAGTGGACGGTGGACGGGCGTAATTCCGAGAGTAACGCCTCGAAGACAGAGCCGGCGCCGAACGGTGGCTGGATCACCAGCTCGAACGTGACGTTCAGCATTAATCACAAGAGCCGCAGCATCGTCGTCATCTGCCACGCTTCCAACGTCAAACTCACAGAGAACGTGGTCGGCACGCATACCATCAACGTAATATGTGAGTCTCCATACATACACGCATATATATATGTGTACCCTCTTCTTGCCTTTATCGCACGCAATTTCATCGGTCACTCGGTAGTGCAACATACGGAGACGGGTACATTGCAGTTGTAGTTAATTTCCGTTTCGCGTCGAAGAAACGTACCAGGTGTCCCGAAACTGTTGCAGGACATTTTACCGGGAAGACTTTTCACAATTGCCGATTGACGATATTAAATTTTTCAACGGACACGTAGCAGTGAAAATCTCTATTGAAAATAGAAATAAAACTAAGAGATTGAAAAGCAAAAATTTATATCTCTGCTATTTACTTGCTATTTATATCTCTGGAGTTTCATTTATAAAAGTAATTAACCATAGATCTTTTTCTCTTAAAAAAAAAAAAAATGCTTCACTATTTTATATTTTTACCTATAAATGTGAAAACATGCGTTTCAATTAAAATATAAATATAAAATAATATTGCTATTATAAAAATCTTTATTTTCATTATTTTCGGTTCAATCATAGATATACGGCTCTGATGTGAAAATATATCAGAGAGAAATCATTTAAGATACATCGTTCAAAATAGAAATAATGAGCGCTCCGAAATGAATATTATAACGTGCAGATATTTTCAAGTATACAGTACGTCATAACTGTAAATATCATTGTAACTCCTTTAACTTTTGTAACATATTTGGGGAAATTGTGTAACGATAATGCTGACATCTTCATGACACGCGATGACAAATTAATCGACCGCATTGCCGGGATCTGCCGGGATCTGCCGGGACTCCAAAACTTGCATACACAAAACGATCACACACTCTCTTTCTCTCTCTCACTCTCTCATTTGTGAGTCCAATGGTTAGAATTCATTTACCATATTCGACATTGCACCATGTTGCGCACATGATACTCTCGCAATAATACAACCGTAATCGACCGACATTAATTTCCGCCATAAATAAATAATCCTTGTATAATCAACTGCGTTTTCAGCTTGTAATTACATGCATTAAAATTACTCGCTATCTGAATATACTAAACAATTAGTTGGTCTCCAATCAATAATATCGTCCGGCAATCCGTGATTAATAACGAATGCTACTCTTGTTTAGTGATGTAAAACTGGATTTAACAAATAATCGTTATAAATTGCTGTAAATCTTTCATTGAATGTTGAACAGTTTCGGATTTTTTTTTTATACATCCGTATGACACAAATTTATTACATAGATCTTTTTCCTATTCGTCTATGCATTTTTGTTTTTAATAGAGGTATACATTTTATTAAACTACGCGGGGATGTGATAGAAAATATGTGTGTATATATATCATATATATAAAAGATGGCGTACACATACAAAATATTTGAATGGTTCTAATTTGTCGAACTTATCGAATTTATCGAATTTTGTAGATCCTCCTTCAAAACTAACTGTCACCGGATACGATGAGAGTACGACGATAGTCGCCGGGACGGTGCTGAAGCTCATGTGCATCGCCACGTCGGGTAATCCATTGGCCACGTTAACATGGTACAAGAACGACCGCAAGGTACGTGAAATCGAGCGACATGTTCGTCGTAGGTAGTTTGCAAATTATACACAGACTCAAAAGGCATAAGATGCAAAAATGTAGAGTACACCCTCTGCTCTCAACCCACAAATTTAATTAATTACCGAAAAAATAAAATGATATGCAGTAATTATTAATCTTGTCACATGATTAATTATTTAAACCCACAGAATAAATTTCTCAAGTCTTTTTGGAATTGACAATATTTTAACATTGTCGAAAAAACTATCTTATACATCTAAAGATTAAACTTGTTGAAGAAGTTTGCTTCCTTGACTTGAAATTTTTAGTAGCATTTTGTACAGATAATCCCAAAGTATAAAACTCACCTCTTTCACTTTTTATAATTTAACAATTATTAACAGCAACGACGTTGACTCCCTTTGCAACTTCTTCGAGTAAAAATTTTATATAAAGGATTCCAAAGGGGGTGAAAATTGAGTAATTCACAATTCATAAGAATTATCCATTTTAGTTGCGACTTAATATTTTAAAAATTTCTTATGAATTATGAATTTTGACTCGTTCTTTTACTCTTGAATCTTCTTAATTTTTGTGTGTGAAAACTCTCTGAAGACAATGGGGCTCAACATCAATTTACGCCTCTGAATATTTTAAGATTTACGCCACTGCGTAAGATCGCTGTATTAATATCTTATTACATAACAGGTACCTGGTATAATAAGACAGCGAAATCACGCTGTCTCCAGCGAGTTGGCGATACTCGTCAACGCATCCGACAACAACGCTCACGTGCGATGCGAGGCGACGAATTCCGCCACCGAGATCCCCCTGCTGAAAGTTCTCGTGCTAAAAGTCCATTGTAAGACATAACTCACTCTTATTCATATTTATTATCAAAATTTTACTCTCTCTCCGTATATTTTTTCAAATTAATTCGTTTAGATAGAAGGAGCGATGTTAAGTTTTTTTGTTTTTTTTTTCGATAAGAAAAGATAGCGCGATTAAAGATGATTAAACGACGATATTATTACTTTCTTTTCTCCACCACGAATCTCGCAAGAATCTCGTCGCAGTGCTAGAGCGATATTTTTAACGGCGGACTGCCGTCCACTTTTTCCCATCTCTAGTCCCGCCCGAGAGGGTAAAGATTAACCGCGAGCCCCAGGACTTTCACGCCGGCCAGGAGGGACGTATAATCTGCGAGTCGAGCAGCAGCAATCCCGCTGCCGAAATGTCGTGGTGGAAGAACGGGATACCGGTGACCGGCACCAGGAACAGCACCAAGTCCGGATTACACGGCGGCTACCTGTCGTCTGTCGAGCTCGCGCTGGACTTAACCGAGGACATGAACGGTGAAGTGTACACATGCGAGGCGAAAAACACCGAATTGGGGAGATCTGTCCACGACGCGACGACTCTGGACGTGCTATGTAAGTGTAGATCCAAGTATAGGTTGCTCTTAAACGACGTATAATCTATATACCCTGCGAAGAGATCAGCACGCACGTATGCTCGATAAGAACATTCAACCCGGAAATCTCCGCACCAGAGCGCGAATGTATGATAGTATATAACTCCTGATATCTCTCTCCAGATCATATCGGTGTAAATTTCTGGCATTTTTCGCTACAAAAATATCTCGCTATTGCGATAACATATACTCCCGCGCGCGTACGATATAACATTACTATAAATTGGAATGCGAATAAATTGAAAAAGAAATGCGGAATTATTGATAGACAAAGAATTAATTACCATGTTCATTTTTGCACATGTAAAAGATAAAATACAAATACATGATACATATAACGTACCAAAATATTTTTCATATTAATTTATATTAAATATTAAATATAGGAGGATATATATTTAAAAAATATGAAAAACGCATCTTTTTCGCATTTTTTAAGCTCATAACTCTGTGGTGTGTTTTACATACTCTAAATAAATCTAATATACAAAAAGAGTCTATATCAATTTGTTAAATTATTACGCAATTATATGAGCGATAATAAAGAATTATATTCAGTGAAATTAGTTTTATCAAATAGCGAAAAATTTATTTATATTTCCATGATAATGTATGCTTTTGAAGATGATATTAAACCTACATCTCGCGATTTGAAGTGATACTATTTTTAACATATACTTGTATTCTTTTTAGACAAGCCGATATTCTCGCCGTTAGATCCTTACGAACTAACCGGTCTGGAAGGAGAGCCTTTCGTCATTTCCGTATCGGCAAGAGGCAATCCCAACACGACGGAGTACACGTGGACAAGGGACGGTCTGCCGCTGGGTAGCAGTAGCGGTAAGAGAATAGCCGCCCACGGTTCCACGTTAAATATCACGAGATTGGATCGTCACGATGCCGGCACGTATATATGCGAAGCGCTGAACAAGGAAGGAACTACTTTTTATCAGCTAAATCTCACCGTGCAGTGTAAGTGTAAAGGATAATTTTCTTTTATCGCGCGATGAAAATGTACAATTAAATTTCGAATTAACGCATTAGAAAAAAAATCAATAATATTTAGTTTTTCGTAAAATTGTCGATGATTTTTAAAGTTTATCGAAAAAATTTGTTTGCTTTGATTTTCTTTTTGCCCAATTTGTTATAATTTCAATTTAATATTTCTAATCTCTTTTATATCTTCTATCATGATTTTTTTAGATACTCAATAATTTTTCTATTTTAATACACAAATTTGCTCTCGCTAATACGCAAATCACACAATTCATCGTTTCGCTTTTGTGATCCCGCAGACCCGGCGAAAATCAAACGCACCTCGTCATCGGGGATAGTTTATCCACCGGGTGTCGAGGCGAAACTGTTTTGCGAAGTCGATGGTAGCCCGATCGGCGACGAGTACGTCACGTGGCAAAAAGTAGGATCGAATCCCGAATTACCGGGACGTTATTCGACGTCCTTTGTTAATCGGACGTCGTATCTTCACATAGAATATCCTAGCCAGGAAGACGTCGGCGAGTATCGGTGCAAAGTCAACAACATCATCGGCAACGCAACATCGGATCCTATTCTATTTATTACGAATTGTACGTAGAAAAAGATTTTTATATTTCGATTATTTAATTATACTATCGAATTTTAAATAAAGAGGTACAATTAAACGAGCGAAAAATAAAAATTGGTCGAAATCATCAGAATTTAATGATCGTATAGCGCATGGTAATTTAATTTTACCATGTATCGTTTGGATTTAATGTCATCTCTAACAATGGTGACCACACAGCTTAATTGCTACAAAAATTAATCATATTTTCAGAAAAAAGAAATAGGAGCGAGCAATATATTTAACGCGTAAATGAGCTTGAAATAAAAAACCAAATCGAGAATCACACATTATTGGATGGATTAATAATATTAATTATTGATATATTCATTTACTCTTGGTACTTGCAGATTAAACAATTATTAAGTCATCGAAAAGTAATTCCAATTAATATTATTGATATTAATAATTAAATGTTATTGTGTCATAATAATATTATATATACGTTATATGTATATACATTAATAGTTGCAATAATTATACTTGATCAATAATTAATTGATTAGTAACATAGAAATTATACTGTTGATGCAACAATTGCCGCAAGAATTTCACCGTGTTTTTATAACTCTTATAAACTCTTATAATAAAAGGAATTTTTTCGGAACATAGAAATCGCGTAAAATACATGAAACATCGTGAAATATATCCTGGATACGTTTCACGTATCGAAAAGCAGAGTGTAATAAAGAAATTTACTGGTACTTTTTATGCGCAGTTAAACCGGAAATGACAAACACCCCGCTGACGCGAAAGGCAGCAGCGAACAAAGGAATAAACGTCCAATTGTTCTGCAAAGCGCGAGGATCTCCATTGCCGCGTTTCACTTGGATCTTCAATGGGAAAACTTTATTGCCGAACGCAACTGAGAATAAATACAGTATCACTCACAGCGATGTAAGTCACTTTATAAGACGTACTTATCTCTTAAATAACAACTTCCTTTACCAGTATATCTTCTTTAGAGCGTTGTTTGACCGAAGCACCAGTATTGTACTGCGTATTGTAAATCTTATTCTTCGTTTAACTCCGCGCGAATCTCACTTTGATAGAATTTTCATGTTGAACGTAGTTAAGAAGATATTTACCGTTGAAAATTCAGAAGTTGTAAGGTTGTAATCAGAAAGGATATCTAATTAAAATTTTTCTGCTAAGAGAATCGCAAATAGAAAACCTATATACTTGAAAGTTATACCTCTAATCTTTTATATAACGACTAAATAATTTAAAGAATTCAGATCCTTCTTTCAATAATATTTGATCTTTCAATAATATTTAATTATATTTATTTTTAATAAAATGTAAATGTATCTCTTATCCCTTCTTATATTTCTCGCAGCTATCCGAGCTCTATTCGGAAACAACGTTGACCATTTATCACGTGACGTCACAGGACTATGGAAAATACGAGTGTCGTGCTCAGAATAAAATGGGACAGTCCTTGGATGAAATACACTTGGACGTCACGTCACCGCCGGACAAGCCGAGCGACTTAGAGATCTATAACGTCACGCACGACGCGGTCACGTTGATTTGGAAGCGCGGTTTTGACGGCGGCTTGCCGACGTCCCACCAGATACGGTGGCGACAGGCGTTGGATTATGAGGATCGCTATCATTACCTGGACGTCTCGCCTGGTGAATATAAAGCCACTATATCCGGCTTGTCGCTCGGGACTTCTTATGTGTTTAGCGTGAAGGCAATCAACGAGAAGGGAGACAGCGGCTTTTTGCCGGATCTCCTTAAAGTCCAGACACTTCGTAAGTAGTAGACAAATACCGTAGTTTTCTCTTTTACGCTTTCTTATTCAAAAAGAAAAGGTCTTGCGTAGAAAAGCTTAATGTTATTGTATTATATATATATATTTATATATATATATATATATAGATAGTATATTATATAAGTATAGCAAAGTCGCGTAAATAGTGCTGGAATATTTGGTACAATTTCGTTGTGGTAAACTACAAGATTTGTTTATATAAATGTGATTTAGTATAGTCAATGGTATGGTAAAATTATAGAAATCGCTTCGACTCGCTGTTAAATGATAATTATTAGCAATTTTCCCTCACAAGCCAAGTATTTGCGTTAGATAGATAGTACATTGTTATTCGTGTTGGCGGAAAATAACAGCTTGCTAAATCATTATGCAGATCATCGGAACATAATTAAACGTGATTGCTCCGCATCCACATAATTAATCATACTCAGTAATTAGGTTGATCGTTTAGTGTGTCTCATGAATGTTCGCATGGCATCTATATCATGGGTTAGTTACCATAAAATACATTAGACATTATGTAATGTGCATTTTACGAAAATTACCATTTCATAATTATCATACGTAATATAATAATTTTCAGCATGATTCATACATCCTAGACGATCATAACAATTCGATGTCACTTTAGCTCTGAAATTTTTCTGATAGTATTTTTTTAAATGCCTCTAACTATGTTATACGAATTACAAGCTCAGCAAAAAAATTGGAAAGTTAAAAAGCATGAATTATCGCAAATTATTCGCGCAATTGACGTTGTTAAGGCTAGTTTAATGAATACAGAAGAAAATCAAGCAGTGAATTACTGATATTTGCCCTTTTCGAGGGAAAAAGATAACAGACAAGTTGAACAGATAACCAAGTTGTTAGTTGCTACTGCTTAATTGCTAGTTTTGTATTACCGCCATATTACCAGTATTATGGCATTATACAACTTCGAGAATTTCGAAGTTGACTAACAATGTAGATTCATTCATTGCATGAATAACATAAGCCGGTGATGGGGCATTGGCTTGGGTTACAGGCGAGGCACCACCAACCGAGTTGACATCAAGCGAGAATAGTTCCTCCTACATCATCGTCATTATCATCACTGTTTCCGCCTCTGCTTGCCTACTCATTGCCGCGACCATAGTCTTTGCTACAGTAAAATCGAAAAAGAAGGCCCAGCGTACGGGTAAATATAATATTTATCATGTGTTCTTTCTTTCCTTTATTTTCCTAGGACCGAATAAAGAGGAAAACCTGCCGGATGTTCTTTTGGAAAAGGGCGACTTTCCAATAAATTATATCTATACGTTAGCAGCAACTTCCGTCATCATTTTTATCGTTAATGTCTTCATCATGTTGTGGTACATAGTACGAAAGCGAAATAAAGCTCGTAAGTTTAACGACTTATGATATTTAGCGCGTATTCACTCTAACTTAGAGGATTGCACGAACACATTACAAACCTCAATCCAATATTTGATTACGATCACATCAGAAACTTAAGCATAGTTAAATCTTCTTCCAATAAATTTTGAAACTTAAACATTTCTGATCGAATTGTTTGAAAATATATAAAATTACATCGATATTTAAATAAAGCTAATCAATCATAGATTGATTGTGGAATATGGATTTACAAAAGTTGCTATTATTATAAATTTAATCTTATAAATATTAAATTTATTATTACATATCTTATAGATATTGATTACATAATGTTAAGAAGATTGCTTTTAAACAAAGTACAACTAGTGAAGAAAACAATCGAATTATATCTCTCGTATATGTTTCGATAATAGATTAATCTTTTGTGTGATCGTAATCTTTTTATTCGCGCTTTAATCTGCCATTCGTATATTCACCGCGCGTTATATTTGCATAGGTATTAATAAATCGCAGACCGCAGACATGTATGCACCGTCCACCGTCAACGGCGACACCATGACCGGCGAATTAAGTTCGATGTCGGACGAGAAAAGCGACGTCAATTTCGACGCTAATGATTACGTGGTCAGTGCCATCAGTCAGTATGTTCTTAGTAACAAATAATTCCGGAGGGTAGGTTTGAGTTCTAGCAACACTTTTTCTGTTCCATTCCTCTACTAATTTTGCTTCCTTTCTTTTTTTCTATCTTTTATTTGTGATTTCCGCAATATTTCTTCTTTCACAATTTCATCTATCTCTTAATGCAAGAGGTTGTAATAACTGATAATATATCGCGCAACATTTTATTTGTATTAGCGTTAGACATTATTTCTCTTCCTGCTAATTTTAATTTTAATTTATTTTTCGAACATGTTTTTGCTCGGAATAATATATGCCATATTATTAAGTTTGATATTATTTTATTTTAATTTGAATATTTGGAAACTACGCGAGAGTTTGTGTATATTTAGTGAAATCTGTTGAAAATTTCGGGTTACGAAGTTACTTTTAATAATTTAAAATAAATTTATTTTTTATTGCACTAGTAATATAATTTTTTTTTTGCATATATAACCTTGATTCTTTGTGGCACATTGCCATATATTTATGTCATTATGATCTCATGTCATCCGAGTGCAAACAGTTAATTCAGCTAAGTATAATCTCCTCAGGTAAATCTAACAGATATCTCTTAAACTCGAACGTTATAATAACGCTGTCATGAAAACTGTCTGAACTTGACACTTGCAACATTTTAATTTAACGAGATTTTGCAATGCCAGAAACTCTCTACATAATACGCTTCGTAAAGTAGCTTTCTTACTCATTAAAATATTAGTTTCCTTTCTTGCAATAATATTAGATCTCGTATACAATGAAAGTAAGAATAGTGGAGTAATAAAATATGACATAACCAAACTCTGGCGTTAAAATTCAATCATGAAAAGAAGTAATTCTTTTAATTATTCGTTTCTTCATTATCCGTTATCTGAGATAGTAAAGAATTGATATAACTCACCAAATGATGCGGTATGATGATGTAGTTGATCTAGAACAATGATGTAGCTGACGTAGAACAATGATGTAAATGATGATGGAACAAAATTTCAGCACTGCATGTATTGATCTGCAAACTAAAAAAAATTAAAATTATTTGCAAAAATTTATTAATCATATATTATAATAATTTAATTTTTCAAAATCAAATAATCGTGTATTGTATTTTAATGGACACGATTTACAACTGACAAATTATTGTATTAATTATTTAATTAACCCGTTTTCCATTTTTTATTATTTATCTAGTTAAAAATATATTAAAAAATTTAATATTCGAAAATTTACGTTTTATTATTGTGTCTTTATGATTGAACAAGGATATATTTAACTAGGGAATACATAATTCATTTTTTTTTTCGTAAGATTTACAGTAAACTCTCTCTTTCGAGATAATATATATGCTAAGTCAATTGATGATTGAATAAATTTACTCACCAGCCGTTGCATCATTTCCACATCGTTGCTCCCCTTCGAATATTTACTCGAGTGGATAAAAATCGATCGGAAACACTAATTATAATCGCGGACGCTAATTAACGCGATATGACAATCGTCTAACGTTTTGTACGACATTCCCGATATTTACTGCACTCACGCGCGCGATAATTTAAAAAATAACGCGGAATTCTTACTTACTTAATCATCACTTTGTCCAGTCGTACTTTCGTTTCGTTTCGTTCGTTACGTGCGTTTAAAATAAATTACATACAAATGTATGAATACAGACGTATGAAAGATTTTCCACTCGCGCCAACTTCACTGATTTTCAAGCTTGGCATAATAATACGCGTACCTTGAATTACTATTAAACAATTTGATGGAGCTAATTATTACTTACGATTAAGAACTCTTGGCATATCCGATAATACGGAAAATCAACGTTTCAAAATTCGATCATATAAACTCGGAATGACTAATGAACTAAAGTATTATTCATTCGCGTTCACGAGAGAGATAACACGTGCTTCTCGTCGAGCGGGAAAAAAGTGGCGCGAAAAGTAAGCACGAATAAAATTGCACCCGCGAACATAGATTGCGCAACTTGTAGATCGAAAATGACGTGTCGCAAATTAAAGTAGCGAATTGCGCGATTTGAACGAAAAAAAGGCGTACCAATACCACTGCCAGATTGAGCTTTGCAATAATTTTCTTATCAATATTAATTACAGATTTCGGTATTATCGCGATTAAGAATTGTTAATTATAAACAATTACAGATTACATGGTTATATGATTAATTTATTATTGATTATATCATTATTAATAAGTCGCCAATTATATGGGCCGATTGTAAATTAAACTGATCATATTATTAATTAGAATAGTAAAATTAATTATTGACTTTATGCCCTTTATATATGTAGTATATTATTATCCTGGTAAAACGTATAATAATATAAAGATTTCCGGAATAAAAACGCGCGGAACTAATTTAAAAAATAGAAGAAATATACATGAATTATTATATTAATTACCGGTTTTGAATCGCGCGACTCGCTATTTTAATTCGCGACACGATTCATTTCGATTTACAGTTGCACAATCTATGTTAATATTTTTGTTCGTGTTTATTTCTCGCGCCTTTTTTTCCTCGCTCGATGAGACGCATATATCTCTCGTATTATTTATTTTATTATTTATTCATTAATTACTTAAAGCTCATGTGATCGAATGTATTTTTTTTTACACTGATTGATTAATAGTCAGATATTATATAAGTCACTAATCCTCCACTATTCATACTTTTATCGAGAATAAGATCTTAAGTATAAGCTAAGAATACTTGTAAAACGTAAGAAATGAGGAATAAAAAATTTACGTACATGTGAGATAACATTTATGATTATAATTGAATTTAATTGATATTTAAATTTTTGATTTATTATAGAAAAATAATATATAATGTAAAAAATACTTCTAAACTCCTGTATATTAGAAATAATATTTGTCGATTGTATTATATAATATAAGAGGTTATATCAATTTGTCGTATAACAGGACGAAGGACGCAAGACCGCAGCTAGCACGTATTTAATAGATCAAACTATACAGGATTTCGGGAAAGGCGGTTTAGAGATGCAGGTTCATCAGGGCACCCTCGGTCGTCGCAGCAATCACATGCAGACGTCCATGAATATGGACTCGCCGCCGCAGCGAACTACCGCTAGCGGGACTCTCTCAGGTATATTTTCATATTATTATATATATTTTTTATAATAATATAGGGATGCAAACACGATAAAATATATATATTGCTTATAGCTGACATTTTATGATATAATTTTAAATACGCTCCGTCATATTTTCACATCAAAGTTCTCGAGGTATTCAAATTATTCGCATATTTTTTTCACTTCTAGACAGACGGGAAATGAAATACGAGAGGAAAGAAATATCAAGCCAAATATGAACGTGTAACTAGTGAAATTTGATGAATTGCAATAATATCATAGCACACGCGTAACCTGTCAATTTTTCATCGTTATTCTTTTAGCTATAACATTAATGTCTCTTACGTCTAATATCTATTTTCTAATGTTTGCAACCTTATTTTCTATAACATTCATATTAACATTAATATTACTATATCTAATATTACAGTGTCGAAGTCGAGTTATATCGGTAACCCGAGCCCGGCGCCGCCCAACGACGTGAGCTTCTACAGCGTGGAAATGGACAACGGTGGTCGGGGCTACATGAGCTACGACGGCAATCCGAGTCCGGCGCCGCCCGTCATCGGCGATCCGTCCGGCGGGCCCTACTATCCCACGTCTATGGGCTCGACGGGTCACATAATGGGCGGACACTTGGTAGGCACCGGCACCGGCACCCTGACGCGCACCAGGACGCTGCCGCGTCCCGTACCGCCGCCCGACGTTACCGTGATGACCGCGGGCACCAAGTCGCCGATACCGCCGTCAGTGCCGCCGCCGCCCGCCACGTTCGCCCGGGTTGGCGCCAATAACGGGGGACCCCATTCTCACCCGCATTCACATCCGGCCCCGCCGCCGCCGCCCTGCCAGAGCCATCCGCTGTCAACGTTCGCGGCAACACCGAGTTATTCCGATATCGATGGCCATCTTGTCTGAGGCTCGCCGATCTTCGGGCCCAGCTCGGTGCGCGGCAAGTACCGCGCCGTCGCGCAGGACGACGACGAGGACAGTCGATCGGTCACGGTCACAGAGAGGAGCACGCGTCTTTGAATTGACGCGAACTATCGTAATGATCCTCTTCTGAATCATTCGCATCGTTAAAATCGTCACCTATCATCTCCCTGAGCGACGACGAGCAGGCCGACGGTTCGCGAACGACGGCATCACGGCTTGAAGGTCCTGGCACTCATCATTATGCACCTAAACAATCTTCGAAGACTCTGTTTGGTGCACGAGAACGAAAGTGTGTAAATAGAAAAAGACAAAAAGGGAGAGAATGAAAAGAACATTGAGACGAGAGTGGTGCACCAGGTAATGCTGTAAACACGCCTTTCCCTTCCACGCGGCTACTTTCTAGACGAGAGGAGACATGCGCGGGGCTCTCCTATGCGATTGAATTCTAATTTTAGGGATATATGTATAATCGAATGCTCGATAAGCGACGGTGATCCTAGAGAAAGAGAGGACGATCGCGTCAATACACGCGAGCGTACTCCAAAAAGCTTGAAGGATGGTTTTACTATTCCATTTCCGCTATCCTGCCTTTTCTCCCAACTTCACCATTTCTCCTAAATCATTACTCTAACTCATTGTCTTTGTCCGCTCGCCTTAGCGTTAGTTAGTATCAGCTGAAATAGCGATCACAGCGTAATCAGTGACACGCATATGATCGAAGCTCCGAATCGACACACCGATTTTATCGAGGAAAGTATATTTTCTGTAAATACACACGCGTAATCAGAGAGATAGATGAATACTCGTGGCAATAATTTTGTTCTTTGGTTAATTCATGTCAGTATGTAACTATATCTATCATAACGATTATGTTTAGATATCACTATGCAGGTATCAACGTCTATCGAGAAATCCGTGAGACATCTTTGAGATATCACCCGCAAAGCGATTTTCTTCACTCTGAACATGTGACAAACGCCGAAATGTAGATTTCTAAATCTGCAATCACAGATCGACTTCATGATCAACACTGATATTATTATCAGTATAAATATCATTGGATATATATCCGTTTTCCTTGGCACTAGAATAACCAACCTCATTCCATAGCTTGAAGTTGGAAGGAAGAAAATATCATGTTCAAAATATTTGATTGATCTTATATTATAAGAAAAAGTTTAGATTAAATTTGTTATTGAATTATCAACAAATATCGTATTAACATAGCACCAAGCATTATAGGAAAATATTATCATAAATATATCACTGTAATGCTAAGCAACATTTTTATACAGTATTTTATATGCAAAATGTTTTTTTGTTTTTTTTCAATTTTCAACTTGCGAATCCCTATTTTTAGAATTAATTTGTAATATTTCTTTTTATATTATACAAGTTTATCTGCCAATTTATAGGCTGAATTGGTTATTCCAGTTCTAAGGTATCGATACGAGTTTTTCATGCTTATGATCATCGCGCACGATTACTGACATTGATTTTCAGAATAGTGATAGCAATATTAATTAATGATCGCACAATACTGCCCCTTTAGAGCTCGCAGCTACGCAAGAGTGGGCATATCCGTCATGACCGTCCATTGTTTACTTTCGCGTCAGTAAGTCGGTTTATCCCGACGATTCGATGCTGAGGGAGACGAGACAATCGTTATTACAAAAAAGAAAGCTTGAAAAACCGAAAAGAGTGCGATAGCGCGGCGAGGTTAAACTTTCTTTCCCTTCCTGCCCTCCATCTGTGTCGTTTATGATCCTATTTGAGTTAACGGTGTCTCCTTGAACACAATATCCACGGTGCTAGGTAGTCGAGCTTAGCGCTAAATGTGCGGCGGTTTGATCTCGAATCTGGACATTTCCATTCGTGAAACACCATCTAATGCCAGGATATAGCCATTTTTAGCACTAAACGGCAAGAATATCCAACGAAGTCCATCATTTTGCGTTTTACGAGGGCATTCAGGATCTTGCGAGAACAAGTAGGTGAGCCTGGAGTCAATTGTAACAAAGGAGAATTGTATTATTAATACAACATGTCTGAATCGCATTGAATTGTATTTCTGAGATTGCATGAAAATTTTGAAATATTTTTTCAATTTACACAAACTCGTAGAGAAAGTTCCTTTTTATATTCGACCTTTATATTCCTCTTTACACTTGTACTCTTCAAATTGACTTCAGACTATCCTATGCATCGCATAGAAATGAAGACTACAGTTAAGGCGTGTGTTTAGAACTTTGCTGGTCCGTTGTTTCTGCATCAAACAACGTGCAACAAAACAAACTGCATCTCGAGTACGTTGTTAGCATAGTGCAATTTGCATATCATAATTCGCATTCGCGAATTCTTTATTTACTTACGTTAAAGTTACTCTTGCGTTGCTTATATACGTTATACAGCTGCGCTGCGATTCTTGTCCCTTCTGAGTAACTCTTTTACGAAACGAAAAACCAATCTGACACGTAGAAAACAGAGTTTTCACTGCCGATCCTAAAGTCAATACTATAGATAGTACATTGACCGCGCATATACATGTTGATAAATATTTTTATCTTCTTAAACACACGCAATATATATATACACATATAAAACGTATGTATATTAAACGGCCATTCGCCGTATTACGCCGACTTTTACGATGTTAATCGTATACAATGAATCGCTCTTTAAAAACCTACGTACATTTGTGTTTACTGGTGATTCCAAGTAACCGAGATAATGAGAGATCCAAGTTTCTCGTCACGAGAACATTAACGGATCGAGCTTGCATTTTCCAGGAACGCATGTCGAAATGAGTTTGCGAATAGGAAAACCGGGATACGATATCAAGGCACGCGACTAGTGCAGACTTTAATCAAGTCGTTGACATCACAATTTCGATCTCGTCGCGAACTCGCGGTTTTACTTCGTGAGCAATTGTTACGCGAGATGAAGATATAGGAGATGTGTAGCGCAAATAATCAGCGAGAGAAAAGGATTCTTCAGAGAGGAACAAAAGAACCGGGAGCCATACCAGTGAATGTCTTGGCGTAGTGATATCTCGAACAAAGACAATAGTGCATAAGTTTAAATTGCTACATAATGATTTTTAGTTAAGGAGGGATATAAAGATACTCTTTGCCGACAGCGCGAGGAAGATACTCGCGTCATGCATTATCGTGGATAATCGTATTATTAGCTAAATGTTCGACACATATACATATATTTTTGCATTTATTTCCAATTAATAATTATGATTAAATCAATGTAAATAGTGTGCGATAACGTCTCAGTGTTTCACGCGGTTGAAAGAGAGAGGGAAAAAATTTAAAAAAAGCCGAGAAAAAAAACAAGTAATTCAAATGGATCATATGAGGGTCTTCACTATTACCTAGGCTATAAACGAAATATTGCTTAGAAAGGGTAATAATGCTGTATATCCGCGCAAAGAAGAAAAAAATTAATCCCGTTGATTGGACGAGACAACGTCTTTCCGTTTTTCGTCGAAAGCCTAAGTAGTCAGCGTATATATATTTTTGAAAAAAAAAATGAGAGATGATGATGACGACGACGAAACTCGATGCGTTTGGCCTATCGTAAGAGGGGGGGATATTATTGCAACAAGAGAGCCATGTAACGCACGATGCGTTTGCATTGCGGCGGTAAAGGGCTGTGACAATGAGAGGTGTAAGTCCCGAAGACGTCGCGAGTTTCTCGATAGGGAGAACACCATCGTCGCCGATGGTAGCAGCGCGTGGCGATTTACGATAATTATAATAATAATTGTTATCATTTCGCCGCTTACATATATATATATATATAAAATTCCATTGTTCGTTCTCGCGCGAAATCCTGTCTGTACGTCGGCGCGATGAAGTCTTCCTATAATGGTGTTCTTAACCAGGAATCGCAAAAAAAAAAAAAAGAAAGGAATACGAAACTGCGACGGGAAGAGATCCTCCGGGATCTTTCACACTTCACCACGAACGGTGAGGAATTGTTTGTAGGAAACAATTATACTTTATCCGCCCAGACGGTCACGTGCGTCGCATCGCTCATTGCGGAGAGATTGTTTGAAAGTTTTATGAATAACGTTTTTCTGTAGCGTACGCATATATATTGTTGTTTCTCATTACAGCGATTATTTGTTAACACAATAGATTCTACGAAGCTTATAAGACAAAAAGAGAGAAGGGAAGAAAAAAAAGAAGAAAAAAAGAGAGAGAGAGATAGAGAGAGTATTGTTAAACCGCCGTTGTGTATGGAGCCGCACAGTTCGGCTTAGACTGATGATAAGAAATTCACGTATGCTCAATTAGAGATGAACATGTTCGCGCATAATTAAGAGTTCTATTTACATATACATGTTTTATATTTGTAATTAAAAAAAAAACAAATCATCTATACTTAATATTACCTGAAGATTATTATTAGATTTATGTAATCTCCAAAGTATTTGCTCATCAAAGTGCTAGGCATGTTAGACGGACCGCTATTCGTCCAAAATGGTACCTTGGAGATGGACATACCATCTAACACGTATGATATTTGATATTTTACATAATAATAACGACAACACTTGTAATTTCGTTGATTACTCTAAGACATAGTCAATCCTAATTATACAATCATTAAGGATATGGAAAAGAATCAATTAATCGTTTTACATGTATATATATATATATATATATATATATAAACGTATAATGTACATAGCACTTAGATAGACACGAAAGGAATGAAAGAAATGAAAATACTTGAACGAATTATACTTGAACGAATTATATCAAACTACGAAAAAAAAGAAAAAACGAATCGAGAGAGCTTTTGTATACTAGATGTATATTGGTATATTCACTTTGTATCGTTCTTTTTATCGCGATGATATAATTATCGATGATAAATAGGAATTAACGACATAATTATTTCTAAAAATGCGATAGAACGATAAAATGCGAGTATCGCGAATCGCAAATCGACGACGAAATAGAAAAAAAAAACCGAAGAAGAACGCATCAGGACAAATATGCGAATAATGCACGAGAGACATTGCGAAATTGTATCCGTTCCAAAATTGATATCGCCAGTGTTCCACCGCCTTCGCGTCACGCCACGTTTTTCACGACGATCTTTTACGACGATTTTTTATCGCGAACCAGGCTCTATTCTCTACTTTTTCACGTATAGGAGATAATTTTTATCCCTTTGTGCCGAGGGTTGCGCCAATAATAAACGAAAGTACGTTGTACTCTTCCTTCCCCCTTTCAAGTTTGTACGTAACTATTATCGCCGCGACTGGTCTAAGTGTTGCTTCCGTTTTATGTGCCAACCGATCGATGTTGTTCTTCGACATGTGTAACATACCGTGTGTTAATGCGAAATGACACTATTAAGAGAAAAAAAAAACAAATGATTAGCACCGCGGTCGACGGAAATTTCTCGACGTTGCTTCTCCGAGTACAACAAAGGTCAAAAAGAAAGAAAGAAAGAAACGGAGAAAGAAAATGAAAAATAGAAGCGAAAATGAAAAGCTCTCTGATCGACGTAACGATCGATGTAACATAATTGAATGCCCATGATTAACTGATTAATGTACATATACATAGTATTTTTACATTCTAATTCTAAATTACATTTCCAATTCTAAATGGTATACACAACACTACACTCACTGTGAGCTTCGCTCCGTCATCTGTGTATTTGTTCGCGTTGACGACGGCAACTGCTTGACCGTTGTCGGTCCATCCCTCGTCGGGCTAGATGTATTTCGTACAAAAACGCATTTATAATGATTATTGCTCATGCCCCCTCTCTGTTTTTTAAAACCACCCCCCGTATACACATTCGCGCTGCTGCACGACGTTCAATAAATATATATGCCTTGTGCCTTCGCCGCACCACGTTACTTAAACCATAATATGTAAGACAGAATGTGAAGGTAGAAACGAAGAATACCTTAGGTGCGAAGCATTTACAATTGTTTTTAAGACACGTTCGCGCGATTTGTCTGAACTGTACTTATTGCCAAAATTCGTAGCAGGATGTCGATCTTGAACGTTTTCAAAATATGAAACAATTAAAGAATGATACGTATATTTATTTATTTTTTTTATATGATTACGTACTTCACGTTTATTGTCGCACAATTAGCACGGCCTTCAACAGGAGTTAACGACATGATTTATGTTCGAACTACTGCCAATATTTTTTTATATCGATATTAAAACAAAAGGCGTAAATGTTGGTTTTATACTCGCATACACAGAAGCAGAGCGAAGCTCGACACGCTAGTCCTTAATTTAAAACCAAAGTAAAAGCAACATTGTGTAGCGTTTAAGAATCTCTATTACGTATACACACACCTGCGTGTCTATACAGACATAATTATAATTAACGATTCCAATCATTGTAATTAGGTAAATGAACTAACCGATAAGCAGATAGGTAAAAATAAGCCACTCATTATGTGTATCATCTTGTTTTTCATTCGTAATTTTTCACTACACGATTAACATTTTACCTAGGGGAGCCTTTCGTCAGCTAGGATTATTCCGTATCTGTATTCTGTATATTGTTTTCTATTGCAACTATTAAAACTGATTGTCAACTTATAAATCGGTCTATTATGCCTTTCTCTTTTCGCCGACAATTTCCATGGCCTTTTCCTTTTTAACGATGCTAATGAAGAGAATTTCATTTAATAAAATAGTACAAATATTCACACATATATATCACACATATATTAAAAAAAGCAAGTTTTCTTTACTTCAAATAAAGACATGGTAGACCATTGAAATATTTACATTTCTTTACATTCACATAAAATCATTTTCTGTAAATGTAACAATCAGTAATTATAATAATTAAATCAAAAAATTGCAAAAAAACATCGACTTTTTTATCGAAAGAAAGAGAAGAGGAAAATATTAGATGTAACATATACTCATATCCTTATTAAATGGGAATTAGAGAAACTCGAGCTGTATTTCCGTATTTTATAGTCAGACTAATTTAAATTTCCTTTTTTTAGACTTGATTACACGCAGTATTCTTGTAAATTATCTTTAAAATAATCGTCTTTGTCTTAATAATGAATAAAACACACATAGGATATTTCGTAGATATATTAACGGAATCAAACATAAAAATTATTTATAACGCCTCGTTGGCGCAAGGTCACTGGAAAATGGGAAGTCTATCATTCCGTCATTCAATATTTGGTCAAGAAGGATCCGAATGAAAAACTAATATACTAATCGCAGAGCAACCTACTGCAGTAAACATGAATGATGAATGCTACGAGAAATATACTGTAAAAGTACATATTTTTTATAACATAGATATCTGTGCTTGGTATATCTCAATATGTTGACATTCATTACTTGAATTTTTCTCAAAAAAACGATGTCAAAATTTACTATTTAATGTAGAAAAGAAAAATTTGACGAAAATAACGCAGAGTAGATTAAGAGTAAATTAACGGCTTCGTAATATTCGACTTAGTCAATTACTTAACGATGGAGATGTTATTGAAATAAAAAAGAACTTTGTAATCATATATCAATGTATATTTTTCCTTTTGTATAGCACAGAAGATAACAATTACTATTGCATTACATTACATTTGTTGTCATTCTAAACATAGAAGATCATAATGACGATGATTATAACAATGATAATGATGATGAATGTCGAATAATTATAGAAAAACGAAGCAGTAGATAGATTTTAATAGAAATATATTTCTTAAACATTCAGTTGCGCTGTTCAAATCTATTTTCTTTTTTTTTTGTAATTCGGCAAATAAAACTCTCTTCATCGAAATTCATTAAAAGTATGTTAGACTGTTTTCTTGATACAATTTATTTACTCGGTTTGCGTTGTGCATATCAGTAGTATTTTAATTCTTCGTAAAGAATCTCGTTATATTGTGTAATTAATGATCATTAATAGCGGTACTAAATATGAAAGTATATTGTTCTAAAATATTTAAAATCCTAAATACCCTCCTAAATATTAATTCTAAATCGTCCAAATTATACAAAATAAAAATTTCAAACAATATTTTATTATATTAGAATTTTGCCGATTAAGAACTTCATAGATTCGAAAGTGTTTGTCGCAACGAAATTATATACAAAATTCGTATTATTAAAAAAAAAAAAACTAATTGGTAATAATAATTACATGATTACTTAACTGCGTATTAAAAAACAATGTAAGCGCATTTTATATTCTTTTCTTTTTGTAACTCTCTAAAACGCTAGTTTTACAGTCTGAAAAGGTTTCTCTTTATCCGCAACGAACGTTGGCAAAACTTACTAGAATTCTGTACATTACTGAAATTGCTTGCTACTCGTGATCATCAATGTAAACTCAATTAATATCGACAGGTACCATGCTGATATATCTCAGTATATAGGATATAATGTGTTTAAAATAAATATGAATCGTTTTTTTTATCGCGCAATGATCACGAGAGAATATATCTTAATTAAGATTACGACAACTCTTTTACAAGGTATTTGCAAATCTGTTCAAGATATACTTCTTACATAAAATGGTTCATTTTCGACGATTGCACAATTTACAAATTATACATGGAGAAATTAGTTTTTGTCAAAAAAATTCAATTATTAAATTTTTCATCATTGCAACACATTCAATATAATCTCATGTGAGATTTACAAATGCTCTTGGAAGATCTCAAACTAAATTTTGATAATAAAAAGATCTCTTTAAAAAAGCGTAAATGGTTACTTGATATATTTACATCATTCTTGATTTAAGGCTAGCGCAAAAACTACTCTTGGCGCAAATAAAAATATATAAAAACAAAAATATACACTACTGGCCAATAGTCTGAATAGCTTCATTTTTATTTCATAAATAGATAACATTAAAATAAAAGACGTAAATTTACTGTAAATTTATTCATCTCACATAGCATATGCATTTTTAATTGAAACATTTATCTATTTTAAATAAATATACCAAGAAAACTAATTTACATACACATTCATTAATATGTCAGTAAAATAACTTGTCAATATCGTTCACACACACACACAATATCTTCATTATATATTCCTATTTAAAATTTTCTCCTTTAATATTTTATCGTTTCATATCTCTAATATAGAGAAGATCTAAATCTCTTTGCAAATTCTCTACACATTTAAATGCTATTAAAAGAAATTCCAAAATTATTATATAAAAATAATAATTATTATATAAAGAAAAAAATCACACAGATTTATTTCTTTTTATTTTAATATTAGCTAGTCTCTTTTTATTTCTTTTATATACAGTCCTCTCTTTTGACAAAAGAACATTCATAAGATGATGTGTCAACTTCAAGTTTTATTTTTCAAAATACTCAAACTATTGACCGGCAACGTGTATATACCACAGGTAAATATCTAATAAGTCTTTAAAAGCCTTAATTACACTCGGCGATAAGTTGCTTGGTAAATTCAGAAAAGAAAAGTGAAATAAATCAGCAACCGAGACATAATGCCTTATAACATAAGAAAAAAAAATCACAGTTTTATTTAAGTCTAGGTTTGTATGTACATATATATATATAAGCGGTATTAAATAGTTGTACTATTTACAATCTCTCGGAAGGCCTCGGCGCGACCTATCGAGCCACATGACACGCTCTAATAATTAATTCTCTCTCTCGGGTCAGTCCCGTTCATGAGAGAGAACCATTCTATCTATGAATTAGGGAGAGAATATAGCTAATAATATATAACACTTATATAAAATGACGTGCATGCGCCTCTGCACTTGTGAGTACAATATATTTTGATCCGGTACTTTGACATGGGTGAGGTTTGCTCTCTATCATAGTAAGGTAAAAGACAAGGCATTCTGATGATTCGATAATTGGCATAATACATACAATGCGGTATATAATGTTTTTTTCTTTATTTTTTTTTTTTACAGAAATGCAGAAAATATCTGTGTGGATCTTTTTTCCTTCTTGCATTCCACATCTTAAAATAAATCATTAATCGCACACAAACAGTAATATTAAACTTTGATTCGATAGAATTTTATAACGATATTTTAACAAAGAAAAAATAGTCGCTAAATTCATTATCCGTGAAATGACAAAGTACGTAATTTTTATACAATCTCTATATACGTAAGCATACATATATTATCTAAAGATCTTTACCGAATTCTAACTTCCGTCTTGTATTGCATTAAAAATTAATTATTTTCGATTTTCTTCCGCTAATGTATATATAAATCATACATTTTTATTGCAAAATTTTTAATGATTAAACAAAATACATATATTTTGTTCAATCATTAAAAATTTTTTCTATAAAGATGTATGATTTCTCATTTTAAGCCTACTTTCATAATCACAAACACAATTCTGTATTTACGATATAAAATAATTTAAATTTTAAATCTCAAAAAATCTAGATTTTTATAACACAAAATATTTTTTCTAAATATATATAAAGCGTATTTTTTTAGAGTATGTAAAAATAATATTCGCTCGCTTTTATATATAATCCTGCGTGGGTTTTCAACCGCGGAAACAGAAAAAAAAACTATTGTTATTTTTAATAACAATAAAACTTGATAAGTAGACTTTTTTCGCATAATATACATAAAATAAATGTCGCTCATCATTAAATATCCCATTAACGTGTAAGATCGCGGACTAACGATTTACTAATGTTAGATATGAATCATTTTTTTTACAGAATATGTATATCCCATGACGATCTTGGCCGATTTCCCGAGACAAGCGCGAGAATGCATCGCGAGCCTTCGATCGAAGTACGATCTGATATAGAATATAACAATATATATATATATATATATATATATATATATATATATATATATAATATTCTGACAGCCTCAATATTATATATACGTGAGCATTATTCGATGCTCGATATACACCCGCTTTCGCGTTATAACGACTGCTTTTCTTTCTTTTTTAAAACTTTAACTCGCCTGTCCCTAATGCGCGACTATGCATTACACACATATATACATCATGTATTCGAATAAAATTAACAGGACATGAATATGATTTGTATGACTCGTTCTCTTTCATCAACATCTCTATTTTTGACGAATATAATTTATACGTTTTTACGTACACCATGTGTTATACCGATTATCTATATGTACACTAATTATTGATCAAGTATCCAAAGTATTCTTCGCTTCCATGGAGCTGTGTTTGTATGTATGTATGTATATATATTCGTGTCTATCAACACTAAAAGAGCCAGTTTGTTTAAATAAGATATTTTATATCATAATTTCTATCGCTTAAGAGCATAAGATGGATAATCGGAGAAATGCAAAATTTTATTGAGTAACCGAGATAAATCCTGTATGATTAGCTGAGAATCGTTGATATCGGACTCTTCTAGTATTAATTACCACTTGAGAATTATCCACATTAGTTACACCGGCACAAAAATCGAAAATTTTGTGCGATGGATGATACGCGAGAACACAGCGGCCTTCAAGAGCAGATGTTCATTAAGAGTTTTATTGAAAACATTTCTTTTTATATCTTATATATATATATTCGTATCAGAAGTCACCCTTGGAGAATAATAGTTAGTTTTTGAATGGATACTAACATTATCAAAGCCACTCTTATTCAGAATAGTTTCCGCTATCGAGATTGGACGTTATCAGAGAGAAAAACTCTTGAATGCACATCCAATCGAGCTCAAACGAATTCCTTTGTTAGATTATTTTGACTTAGAGATAATAAATACGCACGATGCGTCATGAGATCTCCATCTTCTTATTATTGATAATTTTTTTTTTTGTTGATAGTTTCTCTCTTTCTTATATTCTTAGAAGCACATCTATTATTATCATAACCGCGTTAACGCTACATTTTATTATTAACTAACATTATTACCACTGCGCTGCTAATGCTGCTACTAGTGTTACACGATCGTTAGCATTTTGTTACTACCAATATTATATTAATTATTAATTACTAGTATCGCCAATAATCAATGTAATCATTGGCGATATATTGTTAATCTTATTATTGTTATCGTTATTTTCACGTTTGCTATTAAAATTTATTGTTGCAGTTGCTGTTGTTGTTCTTGTTGTTACTATTATTGCGAGCATGTTTTTTTGTTCTCAGTGCGTTACAGGCTGCGTGTAACTCCCTTGGTCCTGGTCCCAGTTCCTGCTACTTGTCTGCTTGTGTTCGCAATGACGATCGAAAAGGATGTCTATGTCCTTACGTATAGTGAGGGTACATTCAATCAATCAACGCATCATTATCATCGGACCATACACATCGTCAAACATGACTAAAACCAAAAACCTAAATTCTACAAATATACATAACTAAAACATTGGAAGACTTTACAACGCCAGGAGTATTAATCGTAAGTTTAAGAGATCACACATCGTGTAATTAGGGATACCATCTAAGAACCCTAAAATCGTAAGATTGTATGTGTGTGTGTATATATATATATATATATATATATATATATATATATACATTCTTCTCTGTACGTGTTCTTCACAAATGTGAACATCGATTTTATGTTAACAACAGTTGAAAACCGAAAGGCGAAAGCTATATATAGGACATTGCAAGGTTCGATACTAAATAGTCGTGATAAAATATGATTATTGGGATCCTGTTCACCCAGTACAAATGCAAATTGCTAACGTTCGTAATTTAAATAATAGATCTTAAAAAAAATTTTTGTTGTGTTAAGAACGGTAAAAAGAAGAAATTAACATTTCTATAACGATCCTTTTTTTTTTTTTGTTTCATCATTTCACGTTTTAGCGCAACACAGTGTTTTACCTGAGATACACGAATCGTTATATATATAAAAAAAGAAGATATTATAATATGCAAATACATAATCATCTTTCTTATATCAAGGATTTTTAAAAAGGATTGAGTAGAAAACATTTGATCCTTCGTCTACTTCCATTTCACTAGACATTTTCTTAGGACGTTCCGATGACAAAATCAATTGTATCTTGAAAAAACAGTGACATCTATTATTCGGCAACGTGCAAAATATTTTCTTTCAGATAAAGCGTTTAAGCTTGTAGCTGATATACGCAATTATGTGAGACAAGGCAGTGATTATAGCACGTATGATAGTTTCTATTTTCTCATCTAGCTAAGATCTTGTACCCGATAGTCTGGCTTAACTGAATCTGTGTTTAACGATTTATCCCCTTTTAAAGATTGTTTAAAGATAGTTTTCTACTTCCATGATGTATAAATACAGAACGATCATGCGCGAAACGAGTTGGATCCAGTCAGATAAACTCGCTGGAAAATTCGCGAAAATGTTATAAACGTCAAAAAGTCTTAAAAAGATGTATAGATACGACTTGATATTATTTTATGCGTACTATCTAGTACATATTCATGGCGCGAAAGGTAGAGGAAAAAATATCTATATATAGAGAATGCGCGCGCGGAATATAAAATTTATAAATATATAAAAATATATATGTATATATAACAAAAATAAAGAGTTTATATAAAGCCAATAGGATTTGCGAAAAACGGATTCATCTCGTTTTGCGTTATCGTTCGTGAAATAGGAAAGGAAAATTCAATTAATTAGTGTTAAACCACGCTGAATTGCCACTAGTAGCTCTGAAAGCTTTTGCAAAGGTAAGGTTAACAATCTCCGCATCATATTAATGCTCATACTCGCCCAAAACGGCTCATGTTTATTAATGATAATTAATGTTCGTGCCACGGCGATCGTTCAGTTAACGCCATCGTTCAAATAAACCGTACAGAATGAACTAGGAACCTACAACGGCTATCTTACATATCTGAGAAATATCTCTACTTAATTACGAATGCCTTCAGTTGCAAACAGTATCATTTCAACGGATGCCGCTTACCGTGATGAGATCTAGTCGTAATACATGTATTGTATATAACACACATCGTCGTCCTTAATGGACACGATTGTAGAAAGTTTATCGAATATACAAAGCACCTCTCTTTATCTCTCTCTTTCTATCTTTCCTTCTTGACAATTTTAGAAATAGTCTCTTGCAAATACAGAATCTCTCGGCACCATGAAGCAAATCCAGCATAGATTCCAAGCATTTTTTGTTGTTTTCTATCATGTATCTCGGTCATATATATGTTCATATGTTTTTATATTCTTTCTTTCAACGCGGCTTTGTCTGAAATCACATTCACACAATGTTCTATATATTGAACACATATAGAGTGTATCGTGTGTATGTGTTGTGTATATATTTACATTGTTTATTATGCATTTGTTGAAGAGAGAGTGCTTGTTTAGTGGGTGCATATCTTTATCCTACAAACAATTATTTCGCACTAATCTAGTATCTATCTTGAGTCCGTCGTCTTATTACTGACCTCTTCTTCGGCGGCAGCTTGAACGGTGCTCGCCGGAAGCGGTTGCTGATGCGCCTGCACGGGAGGAGCGACTCCGCTTGTCGCCGTCGTGACACCTCCGTGCGACGGGACCGTCTGTTTACCGTATTTGACAGTATCCTGCTGTGGCCCACCTTGCGATTGCAATTCCGGTCTTCTGAGATAAACGGCCGCCTCCTTTTTCGGCGGTACCACGGGCTTATTCGGTGGTACCGGGGGTGGCACGCCGCGCGAAATCGGCGGCTTTTTCGCCGGCAGTAAACCACCACCGGCGGTGGGTGCTTGAACAGCGGGGCTGACGACGGGACTCGCAGCAGACTGGCCGACGTGAAAGCCGAGCTTCCCCGCTGCAGCGGCGGCTTGCGACGACGTGATAAGCTTAGCCGCAGCGGCGGTACTAACAGGAGCAGGTACAACCGGTTGTCGCTTGTCTACGGCCTGAGGAATTACAACACACAACCATGACCGATTTCAGAGCTACGGAGATTTCGACCAAACTTCGCTCGCCAGGACAAGAGCGAACATACCATAAACAGAAAACTATAGGAAGGGAGAGGGAGGAAAAAAGAACCATACCAAAGAACTAATCCAAAGCAAAGAGAGAGAGAGAGAAAGAATGAGAGAGACTCGGGGTAGAAAGTAAGAACGAATATATAGATATCTACGAAAAGAATGGTCAAGACCGTGGAGAAGAAAAAGACGCCGTTATTATTAAGCAACAAATGACTCATAACTTGACGAAGCTGAAATCAAAATAGTGCGTCTACCCCATTTGAGTGCTGTTAATAAATGTATATATAATTGCGAAGATACAGGAACACTTTTTCTTTGCATATTCATAAATCAGCAGGAGATGAGATATACTTGAGACGCAATCTGAGTTACATTAACCGAGGAGTAGATTAGTAAAACGTAATACATATGTATGTGCGACTAGATCTTCGACAGACGAATGTAGGAAGAAAGACTAATATGAGAAATAAGTCCTCAGTCCCCGTATACCGTGTGCATCGAAATATTACGATGTTCCATCTTGACCGAATGTATTCACCTATTTATTAAAATATATTGCAAACCAACTAATCATTGACAGTATAGTACGCATCAAATATCGTGTAACGAAGCTATATATAATTTAGTAGTAGCGATTACGGAATAGCAATTAGGAAGTCAAGCGTGGACAATTTTTTGGCTCAGAAATAAAGCTCGGAAAACTGAGTTGCATACAACTTTGTTTAATTGTAGGAATCGGTCAATGTACACATGTGAAATGTGATAATAATAATAATCTTATATATATACAAAATTAAAAGTATCGTAATAAAATATAACTCTAGATACTGATAATGTGCTAACTTATAAGATTGGTATAGTGGAAGTGTATAATATAGTATCGTGACTGTATGTCTCATAAACAAATTGTGAACAAATACATATAATATAATAAAGCAGGCTTTCTCAAAATAATATGCTTTCGGATATTTATAAGATAATTTCATTTGTATAAAAATTTAAGAAGCAATAATATTTAATTTTCAGTGCACCATTTGATACGAGTGACAGAAGTAGAGGAAATAAATAAACCAATGAATGCAATAGAAATCTTGTGCATTATAAACATAGAATTATAGAAAAGCCAATAACGGTGTTATTTAAAAAACAAATAAAAAAATTACTTTTTTTTAAATTCAGAATTATTTTCTCAACTTATTTTATTTATCTAATATATATTATCAGAATGTTTCTGTGTGTGCTGTGTTATATAAGAGTATTGTATGTCATATAACTTAACAGCGTAAAAACAATCTTCATTAGTCAAATGCTATAACTGCAAAAGTGTATAACAATTTAGCTACTAAAACACATCTGTTATCAGAAAAATTAATAAATATATAATGTATATATATTACATTTGCATTTTTTTAAATTAAAAAGCGATAAGCTATATATACGATTTATAATAATCACATAAATTCATTGCAATAAATATATGACTAAGATGCGATATATTTATGATTTAAAAGTATGTAAATGTTATAAAATGTATAAGACTAGAGGGAAACTTATAAAGTGCTCGCGTGATAAAACATTAATGATAACAAATGCATTTTTCATTTCTATTATAAAATAAAGTTCTATTAGTATGTGATGTAATATATATTTTTATATGTATATTACTCTCTCTCTCATTAGATACATTTTTTCTTTTTTACATAATTATTTTGCATATTTCGCGAATTGCAATGTCAAAGATTAAAATAAATCCCGAATTGAGAAAAAGAACACTATTTAACTAATTTGACTAAGATGCAATGTATATATATACATTTCATCAATTATTATCCAAACAATAAGCTTTAATATATATATCAATGGTACACTGCAAATTATTCTTGTAAAATCTAAATTTCATATATTTTAAATTATAAAGAGCCTACTTATATTAATAATTACAGTCTTTCTAATATGCATATATAAGTTTTATATCATTTAAGAGAAGACAGAAACATCTTATCTTTTTTATTAATTTACGATCTATTTTAATGTAACTTGTTATTCCTTTACAACTTATTTTTAAATAATATCTATGACACGCGATTTTAAGATATATATCTAAGTATTATGTTGAATTAAATTAAAACCTATTGTTCAAAACACAATACTGACTAAATAGCTGATTTCTATTTCGATATCAACTAAATTTTTCTATCGTTACAAACATAAATTATTTATAAATTATCATCTTCTCTTTTGCTCTCCCTTTCAAGAAAAATATTAGCATAGAGAGTCGCACTTCTTAACGTTCGATATAAAAATATCTGTTGTGACACTTTGCATGTATAAATAGGCTAGGTTACCTGTGTATCTGGAGGAGCTGTAGACTCTCCACCTACAGATGTTAAATTAGGCGTATAGGCAACCCCACGAAGTGCCTGTCCAGGTGCTACTGATCTAGCAATCCCAGTGGCTAAAAAAATAATAATTAATTATATATTATCTTATAATTCAATTCTTGAAGATATGTTTTGTAATGCAATTGTTATGTAATTCACGAGTTTAGAACTAAATTTATACACGCACACAGTTATGTGAATTTATATCTTACTAAAAAATTCATTTCAGCAGAATATAGACTTTATATATATATTTGTCACTTATTAAAATGTAAATTATTAAACTTTGTATATGTTGTTTTGTATATATTGAGAGATATTTTTTAAAGAATCTTACTTGGTCCACTGACAGGAACACTGGACACTGTGGCAGTGGGTTGGACAACTTTACTACTAACCATGGGTGTCCCTGTACCCAAGACCGTTCCTTTCACTATAAGGGATATCAAAGATTATCAGATTTTCTTTCTACTCTGTTTATAATATCAATTAAATGCAAATTGAGAACGATTTAAAAAATGAAATGAGTTTCTTCGCAATATTATCTATTATTAAGATCTTGATATGTATAATTTCTATTTTTATACCATTGCATGCAGAACATACTTGTTTGTGGTGCACTAGCCGGCCTGAGTGTCGGCATAGCGACTAAATTCGCTGGTTTTGCAGGTGGCGGTGGTGGAGTTACACCAACTCCTCTGGCAGGACCACGAGCCTGCGACTCTTTCCATGTATCCATCTCGGCTCGTAACTTTTCCAATTCCGTCTCAAAGTCTTTCGCTCTCTTTTCCTCTTTTGTAAGAGCTTGCCGATATTGTTGCCTCTCCATATCGAACTGCGCTAATTGTTTTTCCAATTCCGCTTCCATCTGCAGCGATTTCTTACTCTCTTCCTCTAGGCCTTCGGCCATTGAATCTATCCTTACTTTCTCTTCACTGAGAATTTGAGCTAAATCTTCAGATCGTTTCCTCTCCTCGATATATTTCATGATAATCTTTTTCCGTTCCGCCAAGAGAAGCAATACTATTTGTTTTTGTCGATTTTTCTCTTCCTCGAGATGATCGTTAGCTTTTTTTAATTCCAACTCCAATCTCTTCTTTTCTTGTTTTTCTAATTCTAGCTCCTTCTTCAATCTTGTTCGCTCCTTCTCAAGACCATAAGTGATATCATCACCTTGAGCAGTATCATGTTCATGTTTCCGCTTCTCTTCTTCTAATTCTTTAATCACCTGAAAAAATTTGGTTGCAATGAAATAATAACAATCACCAAAAGATAATAATATATTACTTTCTAACAATATTATATGTTTACATTTATAAATCACATAATTTCTCACATAACACTAATACTAAAAATAAAAAATAATAATAATAATGAAATACATACTGCTCTATGCCTAATTTCAGCATCTCTAAGGACTTTTGTCATCCTACATTGTGCCTTTCTCTGCTGCATTACCAATGCTTCTAGACTAGCTACTTGTTGATCAATTTGATTTCCTTCAATCCCAATAACACCACCTACTATTGCAATATCTCGAGCTAGTGCCGCATGTGGATCTGCAGTACTGCTAAGATACCGGGAACTTAGAAGATGTTTCATCTTTTCTGACTGGAAACAAAAATCATAATTTTCACAGGTAATAATATAGATAAACATCAATACATTCTGAAAATTAAAACATAATACAATTAAGAAGTTTGTGGAACAATAATATAATAAGTCGTGCAAAGAATACTTTTGACTTCATTCATAACTTGTATAATTGATTTTTTATACTCTTTTATATCTGTAGACAAATAATACATTAAGAGATAAGTTTAAAAACTGTGCAAAAAAATATTAAATCTTTCATCAATTATTTATAATATTTTACATGGCATAGTATATGTAACTTAGTATATTTTACTGTCCAAATTAAAAAACTCGTTATAATTATATTTGCAAAACATATAATTATAAAATACAAAAAAAACATTTAACGATTTGTTAAGAAGTTATATCGTTCTAATTACTTTTAATGCTGCTATCACAATGTCCCTCGCTTGAAGCTCTCCTTCTAGATGTCCTAGTAATATCAGCAAATCAGTTTTGCTCAACTCCTTCTTTGGATTGCGCTGCAAACATGCAAAACAATCCTCAGCTATACATATTCCAATATTTCTATAATTATTATGGTATTCGTGTAATTTTCACAATAACACCAACAATGATACTGTATAACGTAGCTTATTCAGCCATCAAAGAAACATATGAATGTATGACAGGAGTGTACCTTGAGAGTATTGGAGGAACTCTTGTCCAGCGGCTCAATATTGTTGGCCTGCTGCTGCTGAGATTGCGAGGGCTGAGCACAAACGGCGAGAGTCTGCGTCTTCGCGGCCGAGATGGCGGCCGCGCTGGTCGGGACGGTAATGCCAGGCGACGGCGCCGTCGTCGACGGCGGTCCATTGGCCGTCGTTCCCGTCGTGACACCGGGCAAGGTGACGCTCACGGTGGTGCTCTGACTCTGCGATGCCATTGTATATGCCGATCTCTATCGAGAGATATTTACCTACGCGTCGACACCGACGATCGTCGTCGTCGTCGCCGGTTTCCTGGTTCGCGGGCGACTCGGGAGGAAAACTCTCGAGCTACTCGTACGTCGACTTCCTCACCCCTCGAGTCTCCGGTGATTCGCCGTGACGGCCGTCACGGGACGCGCGAGGACCGCCGCCGGACATCCAGCGGCCCACAATGCTCGCCACATCGCCGTTCACGGGACCGACGGCCGGCCGCCCGTACTACCCCCGTTCCCCCTCGGGTCCGCGGGTCCTCCGGTTTTTTTCGGATCGTCGTTTCACGGCCGACGAGCACGAATTAACGCGGCGGCATCCGGCGCGGCGCGGCCCCGCTACGTTACGCTTGTCTCCCTCTTGACAAATCGAGCGCACAAAGCGCAGCTCATGCCACGGCACGACCAGCGAAAACTCGATCGTCTCTCCTCGTGAGAGGCGCCCTCTCCCCTCCCTGCACCCGATTTAAAATCGATTCCACACCGGTTCGATTATCGAGGGATCGACCTAACCCCGACTTCAGGACTTCAGGAGTCCAGTCTACTCTGACAGTATGAAAGATTTTGTTGATTTTTAGAAGTTTCTTTTTGAAAAATATTAACAAATATTAGATTAAATATGAAATATTAAAAATATTAGAAAATCTTGAATATTTAGCCTTTTTTTCAATACGAGCCTCTGCGCGTAGCGTGCAGGAAAATCGACACGGGTGTGACGCATAATGCGATGCTCTTCGTATAATTGTCTGAAAGGAAAAAACTCGATGTTTTTCTCTACTAGTTTTATTCCGTAGGATATATTTTTGGGATATTGAGAAAGAGAGAGAATCTAATTAGAATTAAAAAAATTAATATTTTCGAATATTTTTCCGATCTTCAAGAAATGAAAAAAATTTCAGCACAATTGAAATATATATCTGATTTTAAGATGTTATTTTTCAAGCTTTTTCCTAATGAAATTAGGCTTACACCCATAAATATATCCTGCGGAATAAAACTAGTCCGAGTTTTTTATGTATAAAATACAAAAAAAACATTTAACGATTTGTTAAGAAGTTATATCGTTCTAATTACTTTTAATGCTGCTATCACAATGTCCCTCGCTTGAAGCTCTCCTTCTAGATGTCCTAGTAATATCAGCAAATCAGTTTTGCTCAACTCCTTCTTTGGATTGCGCTGCAAACATGCAAAACAATCCTCAGCTATACATATTCCAATATTTCTATAATTATTATGGTATTCGTGTAATTTTCACAATAACACCAACAATGATACTGTATAACGTAGCTTATTCAGCCATCAAAGAAACATATGAATGTATGACAGGAGTGTACCTTGAGAGTATTGGAGGAACTCTTGTCCAGCGGCTCAATATTGTTGGCCTGCTGCTGCTGAGATTGCGAGGGCTGAGCACAAACGGCGAGAGTCTGCGTCTTCGCGGCCGAGATGGCGGCCGCGCTGGTCGGGACGGTAATGCCAGGCGACGGCGCCGTCGTCGACGGCGGTCCATTGGCCGTCGTTCCCGTCGTGACACCGGGCAAGGTGACGCTCACGGTGGTGCTCTGACTCTGCGATGCCATTGTATATGCCGATCTCTATCGAGAGATATTTACCTACGCGTTCGACACCGACGATCGTCGTCGTCGCCGGTTTCCTGGTTCGCGGGCGACTCGGGAGGAAAACTCTCGAGCTACTCGTACGTCGACTTCCTCACCCCTCGAGTCTCCGGTGATTCGCCGTGACGGCCGTCACGGGACGCGCGAGGACCGCCGCCGGACATCCAGCGGCCCACAATGCTCGCCACATCGCCGTTCACGGGACCGACGGCCGGCCGCCCGTACTACCCCCGTTCCCCCTCGGGTCCGCGGGTCCTCCGGTTTTTTTCGGATCGTCGTTTCACGGCCGACGAGCACGAATTAACGCGGCGGCATCCGGCGCGGCGCGGCCCCGCTACGTTACGCTTGTCTCCCTCTTGACAAATCGAGCGCACAAAGCGCAGCTCATGCCACGGCACGACCAGCGAAAACTCGATCGTCTCTCCTCGTGAGATGCGCCCTCTCCCCTCCCTGCACCCGATTTAAAATCGATTCCACACCGGTTCGATTATCGAGGGATCGACCTAACCCCGACTTCAGGACTTCAGGAGTCCAGTCTACTCTGACAGTATGAAAGATTTTGTTGAGTTTTAGGAGTTTCTTTTTGAAAAATATATTAACAAATATTAGATTAAATATGAAATATTAAAAATATTAGAAAATCTTGAATATTTAGCCTTTTTTTCAATACGAGCCTCTGCGCGTAGCGTGCAGGAAAATCGACACGGGTGTGACGCATAATGCGATGCTCTTCGTATAATTGTCTGAAAGGAAAAAACTCGATGTTTTTCTCTACTAGTTTTATTCCGTAGGATATATTTTTGGGATATTGAGAAAGAGAGAGAATCTAATTAGAATTAAAAAAATTAATATTTTCGAATATTTTTCCGATCTTCAAGAAATGAAAAAAATTTCAGCACAATTGAAATATATATCTGATTTTAAGATGTTATTTTTCAAGCTTTTTCCTAATGAAATTAGGCTTACACCCATAAATATATCCTGCGGAATAAAACTAGTCCGAGTTTTTTATGTTGTTTATTTTTAATAGTATTTATCATCGATAACTTAGTAAATCAGAATTTTCTATCTGTCGATAATAAAATGAAAATCGAGATAACAGTTCATCAGAATTATTCTATTTAGATTTTTTAGATCGAAAATAAAATATTGAATCTATTTGTTTTACCTACAAAATATTAAATTTATTTATTTTATCTGTATACTTTTTGCATTCCAAATTAGACAAGAATATATTACGAAACATTGATTGAAAAGAGAGAAAAGAAAAGTTGCAAGAAAATGCAGTTGGACAAAAAGAATGATCTTAGCTGTCAACTATCAAATTACATATATGCTAATTATGCGTCAATCTAATGCTAATAATTGAATAGAAAAGCGTAGAAGTGGAACCTTAAGGAGTCCGCGATCTGTTTGGAGAACCCCGCGAATTTTCCCTATCCAGTGCATGCACACGCATCGAGCTCGATATGTGCACGACACACGCGTGTATATCGGCCCACAAACCCCTATCGGCGTAAAAGTTGCTTACGTCGCATCGCGCTCGCGCTGATATCTCACGTTGTTACGACGTCGATGACGGGAGGATCTTCGCAGTAGGCAGTTGCATATGGTTCCGCGTGCGTTGGTTACCGTGTGGGATGGTATGCGGGATAAGGTGTGCTGCGGGAGCTGGTCTTGATACTACATACAAGTATAACGCAAAATGGGTAACCAGGTGACGCGCCCCGGGATTGCCTCGCACAAGAAGCTGGAGTCCGGCAATCACGCGAACGCCGCTTCGAGAAGTAATGCCACCACGAGCGAGCCGGATCATCACAGCTCGTATACGCAATTCTTCCCGATCGAGAGTCTAGCCAAGGTACATATCATACACATACACACATACATTTTCTCTCTCTCTCTCTCGTGCCAATTTACGATCACGTCAAACTGCGGATAACTGGCATGAGAATTTTTTTTTTTTTTTTGGGGTGGGGGAGAGGTAAGTGTTGCACCACAATTGGAGCAACGCAAAACAGACTCTGTTGTCAATTAGTGTTTCGTGCAGTTAGAATTCCTACAGCTGTTTGAAACGACAGCAAAAACAGATTCTCAGCTGGCTGACTTTTTGGAAATATTCTCTTACGTTTCATACCATTTATATCATTAATATGATTTGCAGAAATGTTCTATACTTTTTTTTTTTCTTTTGTGATTGTTCCTTATCACTATCATGATTTTCTAAATATTTTCAACAGTTGACGCTCTTTCTCTAGTCAGTTAATCTTCCAGTCACAAATTAATAATTACATATTTTATGTTCTAGTAACTGTTATCACACACATACAGCTAACTTTATCTAGTTAATTTATATAAATAAAAATTAAAAAATTATATGTGTATACATATTTTTTTTTTCTTTTTTGCATACACAAACATGGAAGCAAATTATATTATCTACAATATATTACAATGTATATTTAGCGCCACATAATACTAACATATAAATGTATACTTTGCAGATACTATCACATCTTGCAAATCAAGAAGAGCATGTTAATGGCATTACCATGCCTGTATTTCAAAAGTATTTATTTCCCACTCATCCTGAATTAAGTGAGAAGTTTTTTACTTATTTACACCATAATGCTCATGCTACGACCACATATATAAGTACGACAGCTTTTAAGCAGCAAGCCGAGAAGTTCCTATCAGTAATGAATGATCAAGCTATATTAGAGAATTATATAAAGATGTATTCCAACATAAAAGACGACGGCAATGTTACTCCTGAAACGCTGAGAGCATTATTGATGTGTTGCTACCAACTGGCAATGGAAAACAATAGTACCAGCATGTGCCTTCATTCGGAACAGATAATAAATGCAGTCGTTATTTCGTGTGTTAGTAAATTTATTTAATTTAATAAAATATATGTAACTGAGATTTGTGATTATCATATATAGGTATTTATATGAACAGATATAAGTCTAAATTAGTACACTCAAAATTGAAATGAATAATTTCAATTTTTACTATATATCAATATATAATTATAGATCTTTAATTATTTTACAGTTTCACGGTAAAACTAGCTTATCCTCGAATTATGTGAGCAATTGGATTGGGCAACATTGTCCGCGCATGGTGTACGGCCTACAGCGATATGTGGTACACGTATTGACAACTGCATATCGCAATGGTAAAGTACTTTTGTCGAAAGAACAACCGCAACCTCCTATCGAAATACCGACGCCGGTGTTAGAAAAGTCGAATTTAGAATTTCCTCAAACAAACATATTGCCTATAAGCTATGTCTGGTTGTTGTCGTGTACATTGCCACAGTGTTACCTCCAGGTATGTTGTCACAAAGTACAGAATAATCGATAAATATAGATATAGATATAATGATTACATCCTATCTATAGAATATTTAAAGATTGATTATTATATTGCCCGTCTATAATCAAAGTCTATCGCTATATACATAGTTAAATCTTCGTATCTATGTGCGTGATGTGTATGTATAGACCAACGATTCACCGAAGGACATAACTCACGCTTTGATAGCCAGAAGAACGGGCAGTATTTGTCCAAGGCATTGGACGTTACTGTACAATAGCGGAGAGCATGGGACCGGAGCTAATCGCTTCCTTCACCATGTATTAGGTTACAAAGGTCCTACTCTACTAATTATAAGAGCCGCTAGTGTAGAGAGGGATGAGGAATGTCCGACGTATTGCATATGTTCGGCCGTCGAGTGGCGGGAGAGTCATCTCTATTGGGGCGATGAAGACTCGATAGGTATTCAACTGACTCCGTCCTATAAAATTATAGAGAAAGGTGTGAAGATACTATACCTGAACACGAATATCAGGGGTTATCCGCATGGTTTGCGACTTGGTAGCGATCCGCGTTCGCCGTTTATTAGTATCGACGAGTCATTCCATTCGGTGTGTATTGCCGGCGCGCCTTATCGCATTGCCAGCTTGGAAGTCTGGGGTTGCGGCGATACAAAACTAAGGTAATATCTTTTTATAAATGTATTTTTCTTTATAAAACTGATACAAAAATACGAGAGACGCTATTGATATATTTACAGAGAAAAGCAGTTAGAGATTAAAAAGTGGCAGGTAAAGGAAGCAGAGAAACAGAGAGTTGTGAAATTAAGCACCAGCGATTGGCTCGACCATCCTGATCGTTACTTACTCGAGTTAGCTGGTAGAGCATCTTACAACGAATCCAATAAATAGAGCAGACAAGAGAACACGCATAACTGCTCATATTATTTTATTTTGTACATATGTATATAGTGTCAAAGATATTATTGGAATTTCTCTGTACTTACATGGCGCATGTTAAAAACATGCGCATGAAATGTGATTATGTGATTATTGTGCGAAATACAAGGGACTTATGCTTGACGTATTTAAGTACAAGTGCCAAGGTTTGTAAAAGTGTCTACTTTTTTCAATATTTCCTCCATGCCATGTATGAAATTAAAAGTTACTAATGAAATTTATCTTCTAGGTCACAAAACAAAAGATCATGCATATATTAGATCGAAAAAATATATATATATATATATTTTTTTTTTCGTACAAAATCACAAAAATCACGTTTATATCTCAATATATAGTTGCAAACTTTTCGGTAATTGTACTTTTGCGATTGTGCTTTATCATATTTTACATTATACTTTAAATATTGAAAACTTTCAACTATTAATTTATTATTAATCTATTTTTTATATATTGTTAAATGGTGTCCTTTGATTACTCTTTCAATTCTTTGTCATTATTGTCAATTCTAGAAATGAGACTTTCCCAGTTAAAGTCTTCTTCGCCATTATGTAAACTTATCACATTCTTCTCATCAATGACATCAAACAGATTTTTAAATGGCGTATATCTCATCAAAGTGATTTTATCAGTGATTATAATCAGCTTATGTCTCGCGCGAGTGATAGCTACCGTCAAACGTCGCTGGTCATCCAATATCTCGAATTCTTTCTTCGTGTCGTATTCCATGCTCTTTGTACATGAATACAATATAACATCTTTATCGCGTCCCTGATACTGATCCACAGTGTTCACTTCCACTTCCCTGTCTATAATCTTTTTCAGTAAATTTATTTGAGCGTTATAAGGTGCAATGACTCCTATATTTCTACTGCTCACACCTGCTTTAGTAAGCACTTGAACGAGGCGCAGGATAATAGCTGCTTCCCAGACATTTGAACATACCTGGGCATTTCTGTTGCCAGATTCTACCTTCAAGTTGTAAGTGCTACCAGTATCGAGCACCACCACTGAGTCATCTAAATTTCTGGAAAGTGTGCTTCTTATCCACTTTTCACAAGACGAAAGATATTGCTCCATGTTGACGCCGGTTAAAGTCGCATTTTCCACCTGTTTGTTGCCCGATATCAACTGGCCACGGTATGTCGCGTCGTTGGCCAATCTCATGATTCTCCCGTTCATTCTATACTGTTTCGACAGATTAACGGTATTGTTGTCGCTATCGAGCCTGATGAATAGGGACTCGTCCCCGCCAAGCCTCGCGGCCGTTTTGTTCCTGACAACAGGCGGCAGCTGATCCGGATCCCCGACGAGGATAAACTTGCGTGTGCTATACAATGGACGCAGCACCGTGGGCTGCATGATCTGCGCGCTCTCGTCCACCACGCATACGTCGAAAGTGCGTCTCCTAAGAAGAGCGTGATACGCGCCATAACAGGTCACGCCAATGATCTGTTTGCTATTGTAAAGTATCTCTAAATTCTCCGGCGAGTCACAACTCGCCAATGCGTATTCCTCGCTCTTGCATGTCAATAACGGA